ATACAATTTTCACCATGTGATGCCCTATGTCATTTCTGATTTCATAAAAGTAATTGAACATTTTCATTATCACCGGAAGTACAGTACACTTACATGTAACAAATGTATAAAATGAATTGATATTGCTGGATTTTGTTGATTCGGCGTCCATTTTATTTGATGTGTGCAATGCTTATGTGGAAACCTGTTTAATGGTTTCATTGGTACGGGAAGTAACATGTTTAGGGTAAAGTGGCACCGGTGAAACCCGTCATTACTGCATCGCAGTTCTAGTTCTTATTATTATTATTCTTCTTTTGTTTTGAGTAGATCTCAGCAACTGATTGTCGGATCGTTACGATTTCTTCGGTTTTATCGGAAAAGTGGGTGTGACTTAGAGGATAAAGCTATTTTGAACGTTCTGCGACAATGCGAAATGTCCGAAATCACCGAAGCTATCGTTTTTAGAAATATTGCAGTAATTTTAACAATAATCATTGGATTTTAACTTTCGATGCATTTTGGCATAGCCGGAGACGGGGCACATAGCTACGCTACTTTTGATTTTTGATTTTCGGCAAATCTTCGCAGATATTAGGCGCTAAATTTAGAAAATTTAAATTTTTACAAAAAACTTTTTTATTTATGAATATCTTTTAATCGTGTTTTACACAAATATAACGAGTCCTCTGACTTGGGCAAAAATGTGAAAATTTTTTGTCTCGGTAATTTTCCTTGGCCCCCATTGGCTAATTCAGTTTTTCAGTCCTAGATTAATTATTTATTGTTCGATTTGTATAAAACAAAGTTCATATGCCCCGTTGTCTCAATTGTCATTTTTTTTGTTACCAATAGTGTTATCTGTCGGCACCGGAAGTGGCGTAAATTGACAAAAAACTACAATTTTGACAGTTAGGTACCATTTTTCGAAAGCAAATATTATTTTATTCAAATCTGGTATAACTGAAATTGTGCGCCCTTTAAAGGCGCACAAAATGTTGGGACCATTTTTTTTAATTTCGATTCCGTTTTCGGGCTATTTCGATTAAAAGGTGAAAAAAGGTGTAAAATTAAGCTATTTACAACCCATTCAGCGTTTTCATATTTTAAAATATTACTTCGTAACTTTCATAAACTCGTAGCAATAATCTATACGGAGAGAATGTATGTGAAAATTAATTTGTAATATGCGCAGTTGCCGAGAAATGGGCAATTTTGCATGAGTCACTTTTTACGCTAGTTTGCCTGTAAAATAGTCAATTATTATTCGATTTTCATAAAAGTGACACCATTTGATGTGTAATGTCAATTTTAACTAGGTCAAACCAATTTAACATTTTCAATATCACCGGAAATGACGTAATTTGGGCAAAAATTGTATTTATAGCCTTCGAAACCAGTAATTTATTCAAATGAGTCATATTTGTTATTTGTTTAAAATTTTGATATTTGATTCAAATCAACTAATACAATGAACCCTTACGATCATATAGATATCACAAAATGGTTTCTAACTTGTTCAGTTGCGGAGAAATAGGCAATTTTCAACAGGTCACTTTTTAAGGTTTTTTTGTCAAAAAAAGTGTCAATTATTATTCGATTTTCATGAAATTTTCACTGTGTGATACATAATGCCATTTACGATATCATACAAGTAATTTAAGATTTTCATTATCACCGGAAGTAACGACATTTTGGCAAAAACTGTATTTTTAGCCTTCAAAACAGATATTTTATTCAAATTAATCAGATTTGTAATGTTTTTAAAATTATGATATTTGATTCCAATCAACAAATAGAATGAACTCATTCGATCATACAGATACCTCAAAATGGTTTCTAACTTGTACGGTTGCAGAGAAATAGGCGATTTTCTACAAGTCATTTTTCAAGGTTTTTGGTCTATAAAGGTGGCAATTATTATAGGATTTACATAAAATTTTCAACATGTGATGATGCTATTTCTGATTTCATAAACCAATTTAACATTTTCATTATCACCGGAAGTAATGTCATTTTGACAGGATCACTGACATGTAGCAAATGAATTGATTGCTGGATTTGGTTGTTTCTGCGTCCATTTTATTTCATGTGTGCAATGCTTATGTGGAAACCTGTTTAACGGTTTCATTGGTACCGGAAGTGACATAAGTTCAAGGGTAACGTGGCACCGGTGAAACCCGTCATTACTGCTTCGCAGTTCTAGTTCTTATTATTATTATTCTTCTTTTGTTTTGAGTAGATCTCAGCAACTGATTGTCGGATCGTTACGATTTCTTCGGTTTTATCGGAAAAGTGGGTGTGACTTAGAGGATAAAGCTATTTTGAACGTTCTGTGACAATGCGAAATGTCCGAAATCACCGAAGCTATCGTTTTTAGAAATATTGCAGTAATTTTAACAATAATCATTGGATTTTAACTTTCGATGCATTTTGGCATAGCCGGAGACGGGGCACATAGCTACGCTACTTTTGATTTTTGATTTTCGGCAAATCTTCGCAGATATTAGGCGCTAAATTTAGAAAATTTAAATTTTTACAAAAAACTTTTTTATTTATGAATATTTTTTAATCGTGTTTTACACAAATATAACGAGTCCTCTGACTTGGGCAAAAATGTGAAAATTTTTTGTCTCGGTAATTTTCCTTGGCCCCCATTGGCTAATTCAGTTTTTCAGTCCTAGATTAATTATTTATTGTTCGATTTGTATAAAACAAAGTTCATATGCCCCGTTGTCTCAATTGTCATTTTTTTTGTTACCAATAGTGTTATCTGTCGGCACCGGAAGTGGCGTAAATTGACAAAAAACTACAATTTTGACAGTTAGGTACCATTTTTCGAAAGCAAATATTATTTTTTTCAAATCTGGTATAACTGAAATTGTGCGCCTTTTAAAGGCGCACAAAATGTTGGGACCATGTTTTTTAATTTCGATTCCGTTTTCGGGCTATTTCGATTAAAAGGTGAAAAAAGGTGTAAAATTAAGCTATTTACAACCCATCCAGCGTTTTCATATTTTAAAATATTACTTCGTAACTTTCATAAACTCGTAGCAATAATCTATACGGAGAGAATGTATGTGAAAATTAATTTGTAATATGCGCAGTTGCCGAGAAATGGGCAATTTTGCATGAGTCACTTTTTACGCTAGTTTGCCTGTAAAAGAGTCAATTATTATTCGATTTTCATAAAAGTGACACCATTTGATGTGTAATGTCAATTTTAACTAGGTCAAACCAATTTAACATTTTCAATATCACCGGAAATGACGTAATTTGGGCAAAAATTGTATTTATAGCCTTCGAAACCAGTAATTTATTCAAATGAGTCATATTTGTTATTTGTTTAAAATTTTGATATTTGATTCAAATGAACTAATACAATGAACCCTTACGATCATATAGATATCACAAAATGGTTTCTAACTTGTTCAGTTGCGGAGAAATAGGCAATTTTCAACAGGTCACTTTTTAAGGTTTTTTGTCAATAAAAGTGTCAATTATTATTCGATTTTCATGAAATTTTCATTGTGTGATACCTAATGCCATTTACGATTTCATACAAGTAATTTAAGATTTTCATTATCACCGGAAGTAACGTCATTTTGGCAAAAACTGTATTTTTAGCCTTCAAAACAGATATTTTATTCAAATGAATCAGATTTGTAATGTTTTTAAAATTATGATATTTGATTCCAATCAACAAATAGAATGAACTCATTCGATCATACAGATACCTCAAAATGGTTTCTAACTTGTACGGTTGCAGAGAAATAGGCGATTTTCTACAAGTCATTTTTCAAGGTTTTTGGTCTATAAAGGTGGCAACTATTATAGGATTTACATAAAATTTTCACCATGTGATGATGCTATTTCTGATTTCATAAACCAATTTAACATTTTCATTATCACCGGAAGTAATGTAATTTTGGTACCGGAAGTGACATAAGTTCAAGGGTAACGTGGCACCGGTGAAACCCGTCATTACTGCTTCGCAGTTCTAGTTACATCTCCATTTACTTTTGAAATCTTCCATTAGGTCAAAACATATAATGATTACATTCCATTACCCTGGCCCTGGCTTGTGTTCGTTTGAAAACCTTATATTACAGAAATGAGTTTAAGGTAATGTTGTATTATGTTCGTCTTGTAGGTATAATCATGCTTCAAATATAGCTTTCTCAACGAAATGTGAATACCTCAAAGTTCTTTTTTTTATACGCCCACATGGAAATGTGGTTGTATATTGCCATCACCTCAGTTTGTACGTCTGTCATCTACAATTTCTTGTGAACACTCTACAGACTAATTTATTATCTGATCAGTTTGAAATTTATATGTATTGTTTACATCAGTAGGATGAAGATAATCTTATTTAATTTCAACAATTTCCGTTAATTTCGTCTAGAGTTATGGTCCTTGTTTGACTTTGTTGAAGCTTGTGAATGCTCTATCGACTAAAGTTATGATCTGATCTATTAAATTGATATTTATTATTTAGATCACTAAATCAAAGAATCCTATTGAATTTCTGTTTATTACTACTAGAGTTACGGCTCTTGTTTCACTTGTTGAACCTTGTGAACAGTCTTGACAAAAGTTTTCATTCGATCTGTATGAAATTTATATGCATTATTGAGATTAGTCAAACGGAGAAGCCTATTACATTTAAATAATTTATGTTAATAACTTATACAGTTATGACCTTTGTTTCACTTTGTTGAACCTTGCGAACATTCAATCTGTATGAAATTAAAGGGGAAGACCAACGATTTTCAACAAGGTTTCCATAAATCTCAAATATATATTGATAAATAATCCCCTCTGTAACATAAGCAAAAAAGTTTTTCTAAGCCAGATATTAATTTTTTTAAAACTGGAAGTGATGTAGTTCCGATATAGTGGTCACTTATTTATAAATGTCTTCCAGTTGTGTTGATATTAATTTTAATGCGAAAATATTGATAATCTATCAAAAATAAATATGGTTACAATTTTTCAAGTTTTATGTATATTTGCAGTCAGGAAGAAGCACAGAAAATTGATGAAGAATTATTTGATGAATATGCATTTAGTGTTGATCAGTTGATGGAATTAGCAGGCTACAGCTGTGCGATAGCAATATCAAGAGTAAGTATTTTAGGTTGTTTTTTTTTTAAGTGTTTTTGGGGGGTTGGATGGCTGAATGGTTAGCGTGCGCGTGCTGTATCATACAGTCTGTCATTGAGTCGACTGCCGTGGTTTTGAATCCCCGGTTGTACGTGGCAAGGAGTAGGGTCGCCTGTTCAACCTTGTGGGTTTTCTCCGGGTCCTCCGGTTTCCTCCCACTGCTAAAGACCCCTACGCGCAAGCGAATTATGTAAATAAAATTAAACCATATGTTTGTCCCAAAATGACCTAGTTTGTGTCGAGTGGACGTTAAACCCCATTTCTCTCTCTCTCTCTTTAAGTGCTTTGAGATAATTTTGTGATGACATCTCTAATAATAATCAATTAATAAAATTGTATGTATAAGTCAGGTCCACCTGTAACAAAAGTCAACTGCTCTATCTGTTTATTGACATATATTAATCGTAAGAACCAAAAATAAAAAATATATTTACTATTATCAGTCATTTCAGAACAGCATATACATGTAGTGAGTTAATGTGGATCTGGGGGGCATAGTCCAAAATATTCTGTGTTGATACAACATAATGAAATTTGCCTTTTTTGCAACTCTCCTAATTTCATGGATCTGGGTTTGCATATTTAAATGTTGAAAAGAAACAATAGTGCCATAGTTTTCTCTCTCTCTCTCTTTAAGTGCTTTGAGATAATTTTGTGATTGACATCTCTAATAATAATCAATTAATAAAATTGTATGTATAAGTCAGGTCCACCTGTAACAAAAGTCAACTGCTCTATCTGTTTATTGACATATATTAATCGTAAGAACCAAAAATAAAAAATATATTTACTATTATCAGTCATTTCAGAACAGCATATACATGTAGTGAGTTAATGTGGATCTGGGGGGCATAGTCCAAAATATTCTGTGTTGATACAACATAATGAAATTTGCCTTTTTTGCAACTCTCCTAATTTCATGGATCTGGGTTTGCATATTTAAATGTTGAAAAGAAACAATAGTGCCATAGTTATCTTGTTAGTCATAAAACGTTCACAGCATCTTCTGTACAGATTCACTTAACTGACATCTGAAATAATGTGTATCTGTAATGACTCAGGGTGGATCGCCCTGCTCAGCTACATAAAAAGAATTGAAAAACAGCACTTTTTATGAGAAAAGTGTCAAGGCGTATTGGAAAAAAACTAAACAAATAGTGTATGTGATGAATTTTCTTGATATTTTGGTGTTTGACACAGTCGCGGTCGTTTTTTGTTTTTCTATTTTGCATCCTTAAAGTTTTATGTCAAAATCATACAGAACTGATTTTATTGCATATCAGTAAAACTAAAACGTAGTGTAGTAGATACATGTATTTAATATGTTTTTATGTAAAATCCCAGTTTGTGTTTTGTCAAAGAGACCTCTGGTTTCCCCAGAGTTTTGCCAAAATGACGATAGAGACCATGTATTTCTCAAAACTTTTCAAGGCTGGGGGAAGAGGACCCACCAGAACCCCTCCCCCGCAAAGGATACATTGTTTCAGGAACCTGGCAACCCCCCTGCAAAAATTCCTTGATCCGCCCCTGCGACTTCAATGTAATTAATTTTAAAAAACCCTAACTCCACATTTCAGTTTTCTGAGATTTTTTAGATCATCTCCTACATAGGCGTAGGAGCTCAAAGTAATTCAGGGGGGCATAAGAGAAAATTGCCCGAAATCAATACCGTTTTTTCGGGCATACATATCATAAGAGAGCTTCGGGCATATTTTCGGGCATGCAGTGGACAAGAAAAAGACGAGAAAATACTTTTCGGGCAGTGTGGATCTCATAGAAATAAGTTAGTTATACTTTTTCTCTAAACGTTCATAGAAAAAAAAAGGTTGTCGAATTTTTCATTGCCCGAAATTAATTTTAAAAAACCCTAACTCCACATTTCAGTTTTCTGAGATTTTTTAGATCATCTCCTACATAGGCGTAGGAGCTCAAAGTAATTCAGGGGGGGCATAAGAGAAAATTGCCCGAAATCAATACCGTTTTTTCGGGCATACATATCATAAGAGAGCTTCGGGCATATTTTCGGGCATGCAGTGGACAAGAAAAAGACGAGAAAATACTTTTCGGGCAGTGTGGATCTCATAGAAATAAGTTAGTTATACTTTTTCTCTAAACGTTCATAGAAAAAAAAAGGTCGTCAAATTTTTCATTGCCCGAAAATAAATTTTTTGGGGGGCAAATGCCCCCCCCCCCCTGCCCCCCCCCATCTTCTACGCCTATGATCTCCTATTTAATACTTGAGAAGGATTGGTTGTGCTTTAACCATTAACTGAAGTACCTGCCAATAATACTTACTATATGCAGTGGATTTAAAAAAAATATTATGTTATATTTGCAGTGTTATCCCAGAGACCTTATGACAAAAGACAATGGTGCTGTTTTAGTTTGTTGTGGTCCTGGTAATAATGGTGGCGATGGTTTGGTTTGTGCCAGACATCTTAAATTATTTGTAAGCAATTCATAAATAATTGAAGCTTTTTACACATGGATCATTGCACTTGTTAATGGCCAACTCGTCTTCTATATACAAGATATTAGCGTATAGATTCCCTTTCCGCTAGGAAAGAATATTAAACATTTAGTTGCTTCAGTCTCAAAGTCTGCCTGACATCCTGACATTATTTCATATAATTATTACTTTGTATTCAGTGACGTAGTTAGCCGTGGGTGTGCGACATTAGAAGCTCGAATTGATGATTTTGTTCAAATATGTGGATAAACAAATGAAAATGGGTTTGCACATTTGAATATCATACAACCTAAAGTATCCAAGCTCAGTCATTCATAAAACAACCCACATCCGTCATTAAATAACGTTTGTCATCCATAAAGCATCGGTCCCCTCCATAAAACAGCACCGTCCTTCATCACAACACTCTAGAACCCCTCACAACAGCCATCATGCTTTATAACATACCCGATCTTTCATAAAACAACCCAGATCCCCTGCATGGGCGTAGCGTGACCTTTGAAAACTGTACACCAAGGCATGTAACAGGGAATTTTGAAAACTGAATACAAATCAATCTATTAACTACACTGAGTTTATTTTAACTGTTATGGTTTGTTATTGAACACCTCATTTATTGTTTAACATCATTTCGTATCGTTGAGTAATACTGATTCTTAATTAACGCTTACTCCTAGTTCTTTAGAATGTAATTAATTATGGCTTTGGTTTACTGTAACTACTTAGGGTTTGCCATCATCGCTTTGATCAGTGCTTGTTACATATAATGTCTATATTTATGGCTTCTTTTTACTGTAGATGTATTCTTTGCACCTGTTATCTCATGTCTCGTCCTGTTATCTATTGTCTTCTGTACATATATATAAAAACCTAATTATCCTCTTTTTTCACTTATCACATTGTAAATTATTGCACCTTGTATACATAACATGTTATTGTCTGCGATATCACCTCGGTGGAAGCGGACGTAAAATACAACTAACTAACAACAACAACATATATGTTATTTGTTTGCGATATCACCTCGGTGGAAGCGGACGTTAAATAAAGCTATTTCACACACACATATATGTTATCATTCGCTTGATAAAGACGAGAGTATCATCGTCGCTACGTTGCATGTTAATAAACCAGTAATTGTTATTCTGTGTTAGTGTGTTATACTAGTTAGTAACCTAGTAGGTTATTTCCATAAAAACAGGAATAACTATATAATCTGGATATAAATTTATTCCAACAGCAACAATAATTAAAATCAATTTACAACTAAAAAGGAATGAACAAGACGATGTGCATTTTTTATGTTAAAATAATATATATGTTCTATATGAAACTTTAATCTAATTTATATGACCTGGTTGTTAAGACACTAATCTCCAATAATCTTTCAGAGGCATTTAGTAACTGGATAGAGCAATACACAAAAACACATACTTATGGAAAAACAGCTACTTAATAACTTTTGGTCTTCAAAGGAATTCTTAGTGAGCAGAAATCTCTCCTCAATTAAGTCAGTTAAATAGAAGGATAACTTGTGTTTCCCTTTTGCGCTCTTCACTTCCTTTTGTTGAAACCTTGATTACGCACCTATCGTAGCAATGATCTCTGTGTTAAAATTATATTTGGAACATGTTTAACGAGTTCAATTGCATATGTGATAATGACTGACACCAATATTGTCCTTTAACTAAACTGAGATGATTTTAAACTGTTAAACTAGTAATCACTGAATACAGATTAATGCACTCTAGTGAGATGATTTTAAACTGTTATACTTGTACCCAATGAATACAGATTGATCTATTAACTAAACTGAGTTGATTTTAAACTGTTATACTATATAGTACTCACCGAATACTGATTGCAATCTACCAACCAGTGAGATGATTTCAAACTGTTAAACTAGTACTGACTGAATACAGATTGTTGCTAACAGTGTTCATGTTCATATCTTTGGGACTTAAAGATGGGTTCCCAGAAAAGTATTTATTGGGTGGTTATTTCCAATAAAAGTATGGCAATTTTGGTATATATGGAAAGTAGAGATATCCAATCTTAGTAGAAAAATACTGTATTCCCTGAAAAACACTCCTGGAGCGTATAAAGGACAAAAATGTAAGGGTTCCCCTAATCAACAGCCCGACGATTAGGAAGTTCTGCACGCGTGATGTCAACGGTCACATGCGAACATTGAGTGCTTGATGTACAAGTTGATAAACTTTATGAAGAGTTAGACGTACAACACTTTCTGAGATGAAAAAGACGCGGGTAGTGGATAATCCGAGAATTTAATTAGGATTCGATATTTGTAATAAATGGTAAGCGATTAAAGACAACATCTTCTTATGTATGCAATGAATTCTCCTCTGACTTCCAAGACGTGACGTAAACATGACCTGGTTTGATCAATTTTAATAGCAGGGCATTCCTTCGCAATTACAATGGTTGAGAAGGATTTGAAGCATAATTATGACAAATTAATTAGTTTGAATATGTTTTTAGTCCATTAAATCACCCAGTTTGTACGCGGGAACCCATCTTTAATCCCTCAACCAATTGTCAGTGTATGATGTCATGGCTTAGATATACGTCAAATTAATCCTAGTATGAGCCACAGGACAAAACTTTCCTGGTCCTGCCCCGCCACCTCTTTTAAGTGCCCTAAGTTTGATCTGCCTTCCGTTTTTCGGAGCCCCCAGCACGCCTGTCTTTAGGTATCAAATATGTCCATACTCTATCCAATTCCATTGCAGATGCACTCCTACATAAATTGACTTTCAGAATATATAAATAATATTTTGATGGCCTTTCAGATTTTGATTTTATTACTTTCATTCTGTGCATAGTCTCAGGCCCGTAGCTGGGGAAGGGGGGCAGGAGCCTCCCTGGAAAAAATCGGTGCCACCAATGGTTGCTGAAGGCGCCCATACCACTGGACGCAATACAAAGCCAACGACCAACCTGCCCATGACGAGATTGGTGGGGCGCCCAACCAATGTCACTTGGTTTTATAGGCGCCAATCATGTCATTATATATGAGGCGTCCATAAAAGCAAGTGACACTGGTTAGGTGCTCAACCACAACTTGATTGATGGGGTGCCCAAAACGGCCTTATAATGACAATATGATTGTCGGGCCACACATAATGCATAATGCCGAGTGAGATTGGTTGGGCGCCCACGACTTGATCAATGCGGCGTCCATAACGGCATGATTGGTGGGGTGCCTCATCCCGGAGGAGCATGCTGAGATTGGTGGGTCGCCCACAACAGAATCTGCAAAAAGGAAACTGGAGATTGTAGGAAATTTTCCATGTCAAATTCATGATGGGGATGAGATTGATTCAAGCCCGCACCAGATGTGATAACCTTTAAAATTCGAAGGACTCTTACCAGATTCCGAACATTTCGTTTTTTCTCATAAATTATTATAAGTATGTTAAAGTCTTATTCCTTCCTTCAAATTTTTATAATGTTCATATTAAAAGATCATAATACCCCAATATTGCAAATTCAGCCTCAAAATTGAAATTTTCTGTCATTTTCATTGTTCCTCTCCTCAGTTAATTTCAATGGTTCTTTGGAGTTTATTCTCTTTATCAGAACAACATCTTGTGCAGTTCTATGCACAAAGCCATCATATTTTAAAATTTAGGCCTGACAACCAACAGTTTCTAATAAAAATATCTTGAGTTACAGTTACAATCAAGATCATTTAATGATCCATAACAGATTACAGGGTCTATGCCATTAAGACAGCAACTCCTGATGAACATTCTCGATGCAAATCCGAACCTCTCTCACAGCGGCTCATGGTAGCGAGAGAGTTACAGTGTTCCATGTATTAACAAGCAATTAAAACAGAATAAAAGTCCAGTTGAGGAAAAAAAACAAGGGTTTATAGCCCCCAAGGCAAAATAATGGTGTTGATGATGTTGGAGATTGTAATTGTAAATAGAAAATTACTCTCTTTTGTTCATTAATATAAACTTTTGTTATCTACATGTTCATATTCATGACAATGTTTTATATTTTCAGGGATACAAACCCTCCATTTTCTACCCAAAGCAGCCAAATAAACCATTATTTAATAATTTACGACTACAATGTGAAAGGATGGACATGCCTTTCTTATCATTCTTCCCTTCTCATCCAGAACTAATAACTGATTCATATAACCTGGTAATAGATGCCCTGTTTGGCTTCAGTTTTAAAGGTCCAGCACGGCCAGAATCAGCTGTTATTTTAGATAAACTAAAAGCAATTCAAAATGATGTTCCTATCTGTAGTATTGATATACCTTCAGGTATGTGCTATAGGTCATATTTTATTTGTATGTATATATTATCATCACCTACATCTGTCAACAGTCGTCCATCCCCATCTCTTGTGAACACTGAAAGTCAATGTTTTTGATAGGTTATTTTCAAATTTGCAATGAGGATTCATTGGGTCATAATAATCCTTCTGGAAATTCAGAATTTATTTATCTTAAATCACAGAGTTATTTCCCCCATTTAAATACAGACTTGTGCTATCTTGTGAATGAGATACAGGACATAGTTTTAATAAGAGACCAAAACTATCCCAATTGACTATGACTGGCATTGAAAATTTTACTTAATGAATATATGATTGCCATTCCCTTGATTTAATGAAAAAAACAATCAACATCATAAAAATATTAATTTTGTTGAAACATTTAAGTCAAAAAATGGACAAAAGCAAGATTGTTTAAATAGATGTGAAAAGGTATCACCTAGCTAGATAACATTTCTAATCCTGTAAAGATTTTCAAAGGTTTTGGACCTTATACAGTGCTTGATGGGATTTCTAAAAATCTTGATGGGATACATTTCCACTTCCTGACGAAATGTTTTGGTATTGTAACAATATATGAAAAGTATTTGATTTTGATTGATAACTTACGAGGATGTGCTGTTGTTTGTTAAACCAGCGGCTGCCAGGCAGGATACGCCCACATTTTGCAAGAGATGGATAGAGAACAAGCTAAACAAAAAGCGATTTTTCAAACAATCAAGGGCCATAATTCAGGAAGTTATGATCTGATATGCGCGATATCGACAGGAACCAAGATCTTTGGGTTATAAAGATATATTTCATGTTCCATCAAAATCGGATCAAAATTGTGACTTCTAGAGGGTCCACAACCTTGATACACCATATATTTACACTATTTGCGTACGAGGGTTGGCCATTTTGTCTGGCAGATTTGGTCTGATTTTCATGAAATTCAAACTCAACCAACAATATGGTGTTACGGTGATATAATCAAACGTTTTTTTTTAAATTGGATGATAATTGTGACCTCCAGAGGGACCACAAGCTAAAAAAGGCGATTTTTCGTACAATCAGGGGCCATAATTCAGGAAGTTATGATCCGATATGCCCAAATATCGACAGTATTTAAGGTCATGAGACGAAGAAGCCTATTGATTTTCAACGATTTCTGATAATTACGGCCAAACTTATGACCCTTGATCACTTTGAAAAAACTTGTGACATTCTAGAGGCTAAAGTTATCATCCGATTGACTTCAGATTGATAATTACTTCATGAGTTGTTACTCTTAATCAGATTTTAGTGTATTATAAATGTTTCATTACCAAAAAAGTAAACCAGCGGCTGCCAGGCAGGATACGCCCACATTTTCGAGAGATGGACAGAGAACAAGCTAACAAGAAATGATTTTTCCTACTATCAAGGGCAATAATTCAGGAAATTACAATTCAATATGTGCGAATATCGAAAGGAACTGAGATCTTTGTGTTATAAACTTACATTTCAAGTTTCAACAAAATCGGATAAAAATTGTGACCTTTATAGGGTCCACAATCTTGATATACAATATTTTTACGCAATTTGAGAACGAACGGCGGCCATTTTGTCTGTCAATTTTGGGTTGATTTTCACGAAATTCGAATTCAGTTGTCCTTAGGGTGTAACAGTGATATAATAATACAGTTTTTTAAATCGGATAAAAATTATGACCTCTATAGGGTCCACAAGCTAAAAACGCGATTTTTCGTACAATCAGGGGCCATAATATAGGAAGTTACGGTCCGATATGCGCGAATATCGATAGGAACCGAGATCTTTGGGTTATAAACTTAAATTTCAAGTTTCAACAAAATCGGATAAAAATCAGGGGCCATAATTCAGGAAGTTATAGTCCGATATGCGCGAAAATCGAAAGGAACCGATATCTTTAGGTTATAAACTTACATTTCAAGTTTCAACAAAATCAGATAAAAATTGTGACCTCTATAGGGTCCACAACCTTGATATACCATATTCTTACGCTATTTGAGAACAAACGGCGGCCATTTTGTCTGTCAATTTTGGGCCGATTTTCACGAAATTCAAACTCCGTCTTCCTTAGGGTGTAACGGTGATATAATAATACAGGTTTTTAAATCGGATAAAAATTATGACTTCTATAGGGTCCACAAGCTAAAAACGCGATTTTTCGTACAATCGGGGGCCATAATTCAGGAAGTTACGGTCCGATATGCGCGAATATCGAAAGGAACCGAGATCTTTGGGTTATAAACTTACATTTCAAGTTTCAACAAAATCGGATAAAAATTGTGACCTGTATAGGGTCCACAAGCTAAAGACGTGATTTTTCGTACAATCAGGGGCCATAATCCATGAAGTTTCTATCCGATACATGTCAATATCGAAAGCAGCCAAGTTCTTTTGGGGATAAACCTATATTTCAAGTTTCGTCAAAATCGGATAAGAATTGTGACCTGTAGAGAGTCCACAAACAATTGTGGACGGACGGACGGCGACGGCATAATATGTCCACATGAAAATGTGAGCGTATAAAAATATGCGACAACACTTGTTGACTGCCCGGATGATTTAGCTGCTGTGGGCGTATGTTTCGTTGCCTGGCAACCTATCTTTTAACAAAACATGAAGTTGAGACTCAAAATTGTAAAGATAGGGGAGTTGTTACCATATGAACAACCAACCAAAAAAAACTCCCTGTACACTTATTTGAACCATAACTGTTCTCAAATTTGGATGGGCACTTACTCAGTAAGATATACTATTCAAAAAAAGTAGGGGATATTTGATTTTTAAGTGTTATTAAAGTCACCTAATGAAACTGACGAAGAAACAAATGACAAAATGAAATGAAGTTCACATTCATCGATTTATTCCAAATGATCGTTAGACTAAGTAAGGCACAGACTGACCATTATAAGGGTAAAATGATACCCGGGGTCAAACAGCAAAGTTACCACAGCATCACAACCAAGTCACTAACGGGTAAATCCTCCTCTGTTTGCCAAACAAGCATTGATCCGACGTGGCATACTCCTAATGAGACATCTAAGGTCATTTTGGTCCAGATTGTCCCATTCCTGTTGCAACGCAGCAGCAAGTTCTTGGACATTGGCTGGACGTTGTTGACGTTGACGTAACCTCTGTCCAAGCATGTCCCAGACATGCTCGATGGGGGAGAGGTCGGGACTCAGTGCTGGCCAAGGTAATGTGGTGATGTTCTGTTGTTGGAGGTAACCTGTAACGATCCTGGCCCTGTGACATCTTGCGTTGTCATCCTGGAAGATGAAACGGCGGCCATGACGTCGTGCGAACGGCACAACATGGACTGCCAAGATGTTGTCCCGGTAGTACTGGCCTGTAACACGCCCTGCAACAACATGTAAAGCCGTTCTTCCAGCAACAGTGATGCCTCCCCACACCATAACAGAACCACCCCCAAATCGATCATGTCTGATGACGTTAACGTCTTGGAAGCGCTCGTTTCGACGACGCCACACCCTCCTACGTCTGTCCAAAAAATCAACAGTGAACCTTGACTCATCTGAAAACATCACATTGCTCCAGCGTCGATTATCCCAGTGTTGACGATCCCTACACCAACGACGTCTTGCCTGAATGTGATGATCTCTCAAACAAGGGATCACGCGAGGACGTCGGGCGCGAAGGTGACCCCTATGCAGTCGATTCCGAATCGTCTGGCCACTCACTCTCACACCAGTGTCTGTTGGAAGACGAGCGCTGATCTGATTTGCTGTGATGACACAATTTCTCAAGGCCAAGGTACGGATAAATCGATCCTGGGCTTGAGTTGTCGCCCTTGGTCGACTTGAGCGTGGTCTGTTCTGTACAGATTGTGTATCACGGTATCTGGACCATAGCCTGCTTATGACAGACTGAGAAACATTCATCGTCCGCGCCACAACCGCCTGTGTTGTGCCGATCTGTAGCATGCCAAGGGCACGTAACCTTTCATTTTGGGTAAGCCGACGTATATCAAAATTTGTTTTCTGGTCACTAAAACAATTAAACTGATGTTTCCACCCTGGAATTCAATGCCACAATGACTGTAACATTCAAAGTCAGAGTCGTGCAAATCTTGGGTTGGACCCCCATGATGATCCCAAGCATCACCTGCATTCCATGCGGTAGCTATTGGTGCGTTTGGGCGTCACATGTAACTGGAAATGTTTCTTCTGTTAGGTTCTATAGTGACTTTTTTCGTAGTCATTTGCATATTTTAGTATTATGCCCCCAAAATCAAATATCCCCTACTTTTTTTGAATAGTATATTATATAAGAACCAATTAATGAGAAAATATTGATTGTGAATAATTGTAGGATATTTCTGCCTCTGGTTATATTATTTATTAAGGGTAGTGATAGTAATCAGTAGCATATAAATATCCACAAGGTTTATTGTATCGGGAAAATACTGGTATACTGATCCAAGTCCTCAGAAAGATAAAATTTCCACTGCTAATGCTAATTTGGTAAATGCCATTGAATGAATGAATATTTTCTCTTCTCATTTCTGAGTTTGTATGTTGATAAGTAAAATTATTTGTGACCATGATCAAGAGGGCAGAAAGGGGTGTTTCCTTCCAATTCCACCCCCCAAATCATTAAATACTATCTTTGATGTTGTTTTGGTTTTTTCTATCATGTTTGGAATAACAACTTAAAGTGGGCTGAGGCTATCTGATTAGTCAAACAAATTAAAAATCCAGCTAGCCAAGTTAAACCAAATGCATCTAACTTACAGATTAATGTATTTATGACAAACTACCTGTGATTGCAGGGGCATGTTCAAGTTTTTGAGCAAGGGAGTGTGCTGGGTGGAGTCTGGGGGATTACCCGAGAATTTGGTAAAATCGGGTGCACAAAGGCAATATTTCTGTTCATTTAGGTTCATACATGTATAAGATTAAAGTGGAGTGACGCCAAAACATTGGCAAAGATTCATACGTTTGCTCTGCGTGTGCAATGTGGCAGGGTGGGTGGGTGATCCCCCAAATCTTGCAACCTAACAAGGTTTTACTCACTGTCCCAGTCAAGTCTTCCTATATTCAGAGATATCATTATGCTTCTTCAATTTTTCAGGGTGGGATGTGGAAAATGGAGACCCAGACGGAATTCAACCAGAACTACTTATATCCTTGACAGCGCCTAAATTAAGTGCAAAACTCTTCAAAGGCAGATATCACTATCTTGGAGGCCGATTTATTCCCAAAACGTTAGCTCAGCGCTATAATCTCAACTTGCCACCCTACCCCGGTACTGATTGTGTTGTAGAATTGAAAACACAAGTTGAGGAGCCAAAAGAATCCTGAATTTCTTGAGACTATTTAGTACAATGGTATTATTTTATCAAAAATATATTACCAAGAATAATGTTTGTTGATTCTCTTGTATTATATGTAATTTAAGGATTTTATATGTTGCAAAGTTGATCTCAATGGAACAGATTCTAATTACATTAAATTATGCTATTATATTTTTAAACAAGCCAACAGTGAGGCTGATCTCCCCTGTCATAATCCCAAAATAAATAGATGACACTCATTAATTACTTTCACATTTATCTTTTTATAAAGCATCGAGCAATCAAATTACCAGGCTGCTTAGCCTGAGAAGGAAATGCATTACATCAAACTTAGCCAAGACATCGCCTACACAATGTTTTAATATTCTACCTTATTTATGAGTAATGTTATTGTGTCCCAAAAAGTGTGATGGACATTATAATATTTTCCTGTTTTCTTCGAAAGACAGTAGACAATTAGTACTACATTATTTCTTTTATTAATTAAAATTAGTTTTAAAAATAATTTCTCACACTTGCTGACTGGAGATCTATACAAATAGATATTCTTAGTCTGTATGTTTTGATACATCCACATTCAACAGAGAATTCTGGCTGATTTTTTGTCGAGTGCATTTGTCAATACGCAGTCTGTAAGAAAGAACCATGTTATCTGTCTGTTCAGATTTTAACTTGTTGAAGCTAATGGTTATGATACAGGTCAATGTTAGAAACTGCAAATCAATGAGTTATCTTGACATTTAAATATTATGAAACTACAGTAGATACAGCACAAACAGCTAGCTTTTAAATCTTGTGAATGTGATAATGGACAGAATTATGTTCATCATTATACGCACATGAAAGAATCTTATTAAAATGAAAAAAACTCCACATTTATATCAAATACAATACAGAAAAGGTAATTTATTTAAGCTTGTTAAATTGTTTAACACTACTTTGCTTATCTTTGATCAATAACAGGATCAACTGTAATATGAACTCATCAATGATTAATTTGCTAATAAACTATTTCTCCAGCTTGCCTCCAGCTAAATTCAGGAAAAATCATTTTTTTTGCTGAAACTGAATTGTATAATTATTTGGTTAGAGTTAATGAAACAGAATAATAAGTGAAGGAAAACCATGCGAAACATAACAATAACACCCAAGGTACTAGAATTCAATATAATTCTAATGTTCTAGATGCTATAAGCCAATAGCCAAATACGAATAATGGAAGTGCTGAGGCAGTGGGAGAACTTAAATTGGTTTGTAAACTGGACAGTCTTGTGTGTGTCATGTTATGTATCAAATATACTGTATTCTCTTTTTTATCGTCCATTCTAAATGCATAATCTCTTATTATCCCCTGCCTAAGAGAAAACAGGGCACTCTTAACATGGGTTTGGTAGGCGTACTTCAATAACTCTAATTGAGGTAAAATGTTCAAGCTTGGTGCAGATGTTTGAATATCTTGCTGATTTTGATGAGCTTTATCTGCTTAGACTAAGTACAGATAAGCAATTTCATCTTTTGATTCATTAGAACAGGATAATTTTAATTTTAATTGAGTAAATGATGAAACTTGATTTATAGTTTCATTACATCAATACCATGACTAAGTTCAATAATCAGCATTTTCTGTTATCGTTAAGTGATAAACAAAATGGTTGCTTGATGCTTTATAAAAAGACAAATATGAAAGTAATTAATGAGTGTCATATTTTTATTTGGGAATTTAGGTGGCTTATGTTAGTTTGTATGTTGCCTCTCTCATAAGTTTATACTGATCAGCTGCTCTATTTTGTTTAAGTTATTGTACATAACTAAAATTTGATGACAACTACAACTATCAAAGAACTTGATTACCGTACTTGGGAGTCCATTGTTTCTCGTCGGCATATATGTTAGCAATCTGACTTTGACAATTAAGATACTGAATATACAATAAAGAAATGAACTTTACCATATTCAAACTTCAATCATTATTCTCAAATTTTATTACTAGCACTATTTAATAGGCTGTAAGATGGATACGCTGTATGCACACAAGAGACAATGCAATGGGAATAATGTCCCTACTCTATAGGAAGTTATAGATTATGTGATGAAACCACTATCAAATTCCATTATAATTCTTGGGTTCGACAAGATTGAAACATACTAGATGAATTTAATATCTACTCGGATATAGAAAAAAAATACCTACTGCATGAATAACAGTTTTAAAATTACAGGACACCTGCCAGTGGCATTGCCAGTTTGGCATAAGACAGAATGAGCATATGAAGAAAAAACTCGAACATTTATATAAAAGTTATATTTAAAGGAGCTATATCGCTAACATTTGGGACCTAGAAATTGACACAATTGGGTCGCAACGCATATAATACTGTAATATGAATGTATATAAACTGATTTACATTCAATGCTTTCCGTTTTTACTCTAATTTCAAATCATTTATGTTCGGCGAAATAAGCCAGCAGTCTCAATCGAATGCAAATTTCTAGTGTCTGGTTATTCCAGTCTACATAGTTGTGCATGGTCTCCAGATAAGAATATGGCGACGCCGTTTGACTTGGTGCAATGTGTCTAGCCTCGTTCCTCGAGTCTCTTGTTACAACTGGGGCTGAAGTGCATTATGGTACACTATTCGTGTACCAATGGTAAAATGTTTATTTTGTCTTAAATATTGGATATCAGAAGCCCATCTTTTTTCAGTAACATCACAGCATCAATGTTGATTTAAATTGACAAATAATTCGTGTTTTCAATGTTGAAGATTTTGGATGATATTGAGTTAGAGACTTAGCTACTTTAATAAAACCATATGCCACAAGGGTTCTAATAAATTTTTTTACGCCCACATTTTCATGTGGACATATACTTCAGATTTTGATAATACAATTAAATATAAATAAATTATAAATATATACATTATTTACATAAATCATTCAGTAAATGGGCATGAATATGATTATCTACCCTTATAAAAACGAAGGCGAAACGATTGGTTTGTAACCTGTTTTCTGATTGGTTCGTAGACTGTAGCTACATTCTAGGCCAGGGCAGATAATTTGAAATCGTGGAAACCCTATGGATTAACCCAGGGTATAGTGGAGTAGAACGGAATGAGTACACTGGGTAACCGAGGATGTAATAGTAAATGATACCAATGTCAAATATACATCACAATTTCTTGTTCCAAAGGCACCAGCTCAAAGAACTGGTGTACCAGATATTCACCAGAATTCTCAATCTAAACCTGAAATGGTATCTTTATTGCTCCAGGAAGACATCTAAACATTTATTTTTGTTTGGGTCAACTATATACAATATCATCAGAATGTGTATTAATTTTTTGTTACTGAACTGTATTCTGTTCATAAATACTATTTGTTTATACAGACACCTTAGAGTCACATATGATATATTTATGTAACTTCAGCTTTTATGCACACAGATCAATGAATGTTATTTAGCATTGTTGCTTTATCTTTGGCCTATATAAATATTGATTAATGTATAATTTAATTTACTGCACATCCCAATTATAGTTTTTAATTTCTATAACACATTACTGCACACCCCAATTATAGTTTTATCTTATATTATTATGGTAAACAGTAGTTGTTTTATTACTTTCATAAAAGTTAAAGTAAACATCATTTTTTACTCTTTTTTTCCTTTGTATAAACCAGGGTTCAATCTCATGTAAAACAAAAATAATTTATTCATAAATTAGCCTACAGTATTTAGCCTTTTTTCATTAGAATATTAATTCTGCCATCATATCAAAGTAAAATAACAATTATCAATGATACATAACAATTTTTAAAAATATTAACACATGATAAAGTACAAAAATATTTAGCAAGGAAATAATTTACTATATATAAAAATATTTAGCAAGGAAATAATTTAATATGTATATAATCTTGTGTATAAAAATATTTAGCAAGGAAATATATATATAAATCCTTGCTAAATATTTTTGTACATAAGATTTTATCTATATAGAAAAACAACTATTTCATTTGTATATTATGTATAATTTGATCATGTTGATTTATAAAATTATCCTTAAATTTAGATGAAAATCACATGTATATATAAACATTAGCCTATTACGTTGTAGCCATTGTGTTATCTTTATCATGTAGTTTTGTAAGAGTACGCAGTGGATGGACAGTTTGTTTTTACATGTATGTTCAGCATTTTCAAATAAAAATTCTAAAGTGACTAACAATGTTTTGGGTTTTATTTATACACCCAATTTAATCCTTTCACAATTTGGGGGAACAATCAATGGGATAAAGCTCATGACAGATATTTCAAATGTACAGAGATTATTCCTTGGATCAGTATTTTTTAAGATTGCTAAATCCAGTAATCTCCCTCTTTAATATTTAACTACGGCAATTTTGATAAATATCCCTTTGACATAAGGAAAATGCCTAGTAGAATATATTTGTTCAGGTTTGTAAATTGTACATCTACCTTCTCTTTTTGTTGTAAAACTTTAACCCGATACAAGACACAGTTTACGATCTCTTTTATGTCGGTACTTGTTCAATACGTTTGTCAGTAAAACTGTCCTCTATATATGCCCCACAATATGCAGAGGATCAAGCTTTTCTGGTGAACCATAATTATTATATGTAAACTTGGAGTAATTTAAATATAACAGAAATAACCGTAAAGGTCAAACCAATTGAAATTTATGTGTTTCAGTGTTTAAACATTTTGTTCTAAATTTATGTAAAAACTTTTGAGGAGTTTTAATCCTGACAAAGGATAGGCAGATCATGAGCAATGTGGTCTATCTAAATATCATTATTCATGATATGTGATTATCACCTTCAACTCTAATTAAATCTACATGTCTTTCTTTAAAAATAACATCTAGGGAGGATTCAAGAGCACTGTTTATTCCACGTATCTGATTAACCACTTTAGCTGCCCATATAAAATATTCCTGAACCCTTTCTTCACTCCATCCTTCCGGTGTTGCATGATTTAAATCTCTCAAATTATAAAGTTTATCGGCCAGTTTGACCAACTTTGCACTAGGGCTGGCCTTTGAAGCATGTAATATCTGTAGTCTTTTACGTTCTTGTTTTGGCAATGTTTTATCATCAGAAACTTCTGCTACAATTGCTGAAAACCAGAATTTCAAAGATGTAGTGTACAAGACATTTTGCTAAATAAATTAGTTGTGATATAAAACCCTTTCGAACAAACATGTATTAAATGTGTTCAAATACACATCAATAAGAGAGAGATGAGGTTTAATGTCCACTCGACACAAACTAGGTCATTTTGGGACTAACATGGTTCAATTTTATTTCAATAAGTCGCTTGCGCGTAGGGGTCTTTAGCAGTGGGAGAAAACCAGAGGACCTGGAGAAAACCCACGAGGATGGACAGGCAACCCTACTCCTTATCACGTACAACCAGGGAATTTTAATGTCCACTCGACACAAACTAGGTCATTTTGGGACTAACATGGTTCAATTTTATTTCAATAATTTGCTTCCGCGTAGGGGTCTTTAGCAGTGGGAGAAAACCAGAGGACCTGGAGAAAACCCACGAGGATGGACAACCTTATCACGTACAACCAGGGAATTGAAACCACGCCAGTTGACTCAATGACAGATCTTGTGATACAGCATGCATGCGCTACCCCCCCCCCACACACACACACACATCAATTACATCCATGTAAAAAGCAGAAAATTTGCTAAATATTGACTCATGAAATAACATGAAATATGATTTGTATCAATTTCATGGCAGGAAGAAAAGTCGATTTGAATCTCAACATTTGCCACAACGGAAAATATGCCAAACAGCAACTTTGTTGTCAGTGACCATATTGGAAAACTGACAATGTTCTTATTATTGACATACATTCCAAAAGATCAGAATTGTAGCCTCCAGGGTATTCAAAAAGTATCATAACTCAAATAGCTAAAGTTCAAAATCAAAAGGCTTCTTCCCCTAAATAAGCTTGGCAAACTAAAGTAATATCAGAAAGGTTTTGTTACATCCGAAATCTAATAGGCATTTGTTATAAAATCAGAAATTTACAAAGGGGCATAACTCCAAAATTAAACAAAAATCTTTAAAAAAACGAAATCTTCTGCTAACACAGCCTGCACAAATTTCAAATGATTTGAAAATAATTGCAGCTACTAGAATCTCAAACAGGTTTTAAATCATTAAAACAGAAATTGCTGAAAATCAAAACTTGTTGCATTACAAAGGCATTTATTCACTAAGTAAGTTGGATATTACAGGTGTTGAAAATAAATAGCATTCTATACCCAAGAAATCAATACAAATTTCTAAACAAATTGATAGAAGTAGTCTGGAGTGTTCAACAGAAATGTTGCAGGCAATGGACAAGGGTGGCGGTTGAATAGGTATAACAATTTACCTGCAACTTCCTCTCCAAATTCTTTTTTAAGTTCATCTAATGTTGTATCTGTATCTTCTATAGTATCATGTAAAAGAGCTGCCTAAAGTACATATTTATTTTGTTTACATTAAATGTTAAAACAGGTCTGTTCTTATTTCATTTTTACCTGATTCATGTAGAAAGTCAGATTAATTTATTGTAGGCCTAATAAATCAAAGAGAGAGAGAAAAATCATATCAATTTTAACATTATGTGAGTGCAAGCCAATGTGTACAAGGGTGAGCTCGGTTTTTCATTCTATAGATACACTTTCCTTCTCCCCCCTACTGGCAATACCAGTGACAAGCGCGGAACATTCTAATCCAGAGTCCAGTGCCCCAACAGCTGGACTACCATGGCAGCTCCACAAATTAATAATACTAGATGGTTAACAGTGAAATGCACATTGATCCAAAGGCCATAACTTAAAATGATCACAAGATTTATTTCCATACAACCTCGACCCAACACACAATGCCAGTGGCACAGCCAGGGTTGTCGACCGACACCGGGATTCGACCTGGGACATTCTAGTCAACACCTTAATTGACTGCTCATCTACTACAACCTATCTGTGAATTAATAACAAGGATTCTCTGCACCTTGAGGTGAAGATATCTTTGCCGTCCCAATATGGATTGTCACAATTTCAGCCTAATTTTAGTTACTCAATTTTATTAAATTGCATATTAAATGAAGAAAAAAGCAAATAACAATAATGTTCATGATCAAACTACTGGTTCTAGCACAGTTAAAGGGCCACAACTCTTATTTTACAAATTCACATTATTACACATATATTTTTACCCTGTCACACTCACATTCTCTTCTTATGGACAGTAAGTTTGTGACAGGAATCAATCATTCATGACCGCAACTTGGTTTAGTTTGCTGGAAACCACAGGGTTTTTCTAGACAGAGTCAAACTTGTTTCAGTATAAAATGGCAGCACAAGAAAAATAATTATAGGGCTTACTCACTTGCAATATATTTAAATCTGTTATTCCAGCTTCTTCTGATAAGATATATGCCACCCCTGAAGCAGATAAAATAATGTGAAAAGTTTTTTAAAAACAAACATTTTACTTGCACAATAATTAGAATGATGGTGATTTTGAATCCCTCGCACTACAATTACAAGAGCATCGGTACCACTGCAATAAACATCAACATTCCTGGGGGTTGGGGCATGCATCAAAATAAATTATTGCTGTCTCTACTGTATAAGAAATAAATATGCAAACTGCAAAGTTCAAAGATGATCCATTCAGAATTGCAGCCTGCAGATGATAAACACTAAAATTGGGCGTGGCTCTGCCCCTGAAATGAAATGAAATGGGGGTTTAACGTCCTACTGTTTTGCTCCTAAACTGGGCTAATGAAGACGGTCTCTGCCCCTGAGGATTGGATGTGGAACAATATAAATAAGTACAATCCTATAGTGGATCATGCCGAATTTGATCCAAATCTGTTACTAATTGCAACCTGTAGATTATTTACAGACAAAATGTTAAAAAAAAAAGTGGGTGTAGCACCACCCAAGCGGGGCGGATCATGCACCAAAATCAATAGTTGCGGTGCTTAGGGTATACAATATTCCTGAAGCAATGGCCCGAGAAATCCCTCTCTGGCCGTTGCTGGATTGGCTTCCGATACTTGAGCTTTTGAGGGAGTGTGTCTATTCTTCCTGTTCAATCAAATCTATCCCAAGTACAACAACATGACAGCCCTTCTTTTAATCTGGGGTCTTCCCTAAAACTTTGGACAGTGATTTAAGGTATTAACCAGCAGCTGCCAGGCAGGATACGCCCACATTTTGCAAGAGATGGATAGAGAACGAGCTAAAAACAAATGCGATTTTTTGTACAATCAGGGGCAATAATCCAGAAAGTTATGGCCTGAAATGTGCAAATATCAAAAGGGACTGAGATCTTACGATCCGATATGCGCGAATATCGCAGGTAACTAAGATCTTTGGGTTATAAACATACATTTCAAGTTTCATCAAAATCGGATCAAAATTGTTACCTCTAGAGTGTCAACAAGCTAAAAACATGATTTTTCGTACAATCAGGGGCCATAATCCATGAATTTATGGTCCGATACATGCAAATATTGATAGGAGCCGAGATCTTTGGGAGATAGACCTATATTTCAAGTTTCGTCAAAATCGGATAAAAATTGTGACCTGTAAATTGTGAATGGATGGACAGGGGCAACGACAATATACGTCCACAACTCCACATGGAAATGTGATATAAAAAAATACAATATCAAAAAACCATCGTTTTATCAAACGTTTTATCAGTAAAAATACTAACTTCTTCAGGGATGAAAAACTAATATACAAAATGACAATCCATTAAGAATTGCACCCTGTTGGCAACCAACAGACATACACACAGGGGCGACGGCAATATATACGTCCACATTATGAATGTGGACACTGGAGGTATAAAAATGGAAAGTTGGATCTCTATAAGGTATATAAGTCCAAAGATATATGAAAATTTTGCAACATTTCACATCCTCTGCAGACAATATAAACCAGCAAGCACCACCACAAGTACCGGTAGGTGTTGGGAAAGATCTTTTCTCGCACCCCTTTAATCTGATTCTTAGAGATTATCTACCGTTGAAATGTGAGTTTTGATTTCTTACCAAGATGAGTATGCCAAAATGAAGCAAGGCTATAGAATTCATAAGTTCAGAAGCAAATGCAGGATATTTGGTCGGGGGTCGGGGGGGCTCCTTCGACAATATTTTGAAAAATTGAAAAGTCAAAGTATCAATGATGATTTATGATCCGTCATTGCCAAAGTTAATGCGATTTGGAATCCCCCACAAACTACAATATTGTGAAAGTTGAATCTCTAAATGAAATATCAGTCCAAAGTTCCACAGATTTAATATTTGAAAATTTTGCATTAAAAGATACATTATGGGAGATTTTTATAGAGAGTTGGCCATTCTTGCTATAACAGTTCAAAAGTAGATGATGAAAGAAGAATATATTGAAAATTTCAGTCAAATTACTTTATTCTGAACATAGTTATCATCGTTGTAAATATTTGACTAGTAGAAATGGTAGCGAAATGCGTCTTCACCTTGGCCGATCGTTTGATTGACAGGCGTTAACTCCACCTACATATCTCGATTATCAAGTAAAGTTTTCAATGGCATATGGAAACGCTCTACAGCGGCCTCGCTAAGTACACTCTATCATTTAGCCTCGATCTAACTGACGTATTTTCATCAGGTTGCGCAATATTTGATTTAATCAATTAGTGAAATCCTATTTAAATCCGAGCTGTAGCTGAGCCATCCGTGGGTCTACAGAGTTGATTTTGGGCTTGTTGTTTAAATAAAAATCTAATTTATAATTTCTATAACATCTGAAGCCTAAATTAAGACTTGCAATAATCAGATTTAGCTCTTGCATAATGTAAGTTTAATCGACATTATCTTTAGACAATATAAACTTGCCAGCACCACCACCTGTAACTTTGTAAGTGTTGCCTAAAATCTTTTGTTGTGCTCCTTTTTGATCTGATTCCGGGAGATTTACTACCACTGATATTTTGGTTTGGCTTTCTTACTTAAATGTTTAATAATCAATATGAGTAGGCCTACATTAGATATTGTCTGAAAAATGCAAATGACGATATTGGCTTAAAATTTCTCAGTACTATAAGTAGTAAGTACATTTATTACTATAAGATATAAGCCAGAGACAGAGTGAGAACTGGGTAACACGATTTACCCAAACCACTGTTATTTCAACTCTAATAATATACTCTTCAAAAAAAGTAGGGGATATTGAAATGCAAATACCTATGCAGTTTGTAATATGATAAATAGTCATGGACACTTGACATGCTTTGAGAGTATGTTCACAGATGAAGAACTTATCGCCCCAACAGAATCACTGAGCTGCACGTGCAACACACAATAGCGCCATGCATGTGGGAGGGTTCATTGTCAAATTTGACACTTCAAGGAAGGGTTGATGAAAACTGCCGCGTGCTGGTTTATCCTATCCATGTTTGCTTTCCTATCGGTTCTTGCATAAGATTTACTGTTTAGCTTATCTTTGCTTTAGTGTGTTATGTTTAATTTGCAGTGAGACATCTTCAACATGATAACGTGTACGTGCTATTGGCATGCTTCAAATGGGTTCTACACAGCGAGCAGTAGCCAACATGCTTAATGTGTCACAGTCTGTGATCAGCAGACTGGAACCGGTACCAACAAACACACAATGATGATGATAGACCTCGTTCAGGTCGTCCTAGAGCCACTACACAAGCCCAGGATCGATACATTTGTAAACAAATACACTTGTACCAAGTTACAGGAATTCGAGTTACACCCCAAACGATTAGAAATTGGCTACATGCAGCCCATTTGCATGCGCGACGACCGCATGTTGTGCCTCCTTTAACTCGCCAGCACATGGCAAACAGGCGTCAATGGTGTAGGCAGCGTAAAAATTGGGGCAATCATCGATGGGTGTGTGTAATGTTCTCAGATTAGTCCAGATATACTCTGGATTTCACCGATAGGCGTGCTTGCATTTGGAGGCGTGTTAATGAGCATCATGCTAATGTTAACGTCAGATAGCATGACAGATTCGGGCGTGAGTCTGTCATGGTGTAGGGAGGAATCACCATGACTGCCAGAACGGACTTGCATATTGTTCAAGGATGGGTCACTGGTGTGTACTACCATGACCACATCCTGGCACCGATTGTTCTGCCCTTTGTTCAACGTGCAGGTCGACGTTTCATTTTTCAAGATGATAATGCCCGTGCCCACTGCGCTCGTTTCGTGAATGACTACCTCCAGTGTCACCATATTGTCCATATGCCTTGAACAGCCATGAGTCCTGACCTTTCTCCTATAGAGCATGTCTGGGATATGGTCGGGAGACGTGTTCATCGACGTCAACGTTAACCGACAACACTGCAAGAATTGGTTGTGGCACTGCAAGAGGAGTGGATCAGATTGCCCCAACAACTTTCGGGCAATCTGACATTTTAGGTAGACAGCCACAGGTAATGTGAAAACAAACATTATTTCATCAAGCTGGCAAAATAAGGTTCCCAATATCTGACTATGGATTAAAGCATTTTGCCTGGAGCCACTCTACTTTGTGCGACATATTTTGGGCATCAATTATTATTTGTGAATGCACCTGCAACTGTCTAACTGGATTTATTGGAATTCAGGTTGGCACAGAGTGGGATTTCGGTTGCAAAACGACTGGGCAACTTTGAATTTGCTTAACTCTCTGGCCAGAATAGCAGAAAAACGTATTTGCTGCGGTTAAATTTTCAAAATTTTCTTAGGGAGGTTGAGGCCCCCATACCCCATGACAATTGATTGGTTGTTTAGGATTCTGGTCAGCCACCTAAGTTAGGCTTTATTGGACTACATTGAAGTTACTATATTCATGGGCTGAAATAGCGGCAAAATGAGTTTCTGCCAGTTAAATTTTCAAAATTTTTCTCCCAATGGTCCCATCTCCATGGATTTTAAACAATTGATTGGTTGATTGGAATTCGATTCAACCAGCCGTCAAATTTCCCAAATTTTCTTGGAGTGAAGGGTGGGGGGTCCATACATGGTAAGCTCTGCACATTCGCCTCTCGCAGATGACCGGTGCCCTCGTCTGTAACCTGAAATTTTTTCTGGCATATCAGTTTCTTCCCCCAAGCATTCATCGATTTTAATGACAATTTAGCATAAAAAAAGGTATTATTATCAAATATCCATATATACTATTCAAAAAAAGTAGGGGATATTTGATTTTGGGGGCATAATACTAAAATATGCAAATGACTACGAAAAAAGTCACTATAGAACCTAACAGAAGAAACATTTCCAGTTACATGTGACGCCCAAACGCACCAATAGCTACCGCATGGAATGCAGGTGATGCTTGGGATCATCATGGGGGTCCAACCCAAGATTTGCACGACTCTGACTTTGAATGTTACAGTCATTGTGGCATTGAATTCCAGGGTGGAAACATCAGTTTAATTGTTTTAGTGACCAGAAAACAAATTTTGATATGCGTCGGCTTACCCAAAATGAAAGGTTACGTGCCCTTGGCATGCTACAGATCGGCACAACACAGGCGGTTGTGGCGCGGACGATGAATGTTTCTCAGTCTGTCATAAGCAGGCTATGGTCCAGATACCGTGATACACAATCTGTACAGGACAGACCACGCTCAGGTCGACCAAGGGCGACAACTCAAGCCCAGGATCGATTTATCCGTACCTTGGCCTTGAGAAATCGTGTCATCACAGCAAATCAGATCAGCGCTCGTCTTCAAACAGACACTGGTGTGAGAGTGAGTGGCCAGACGATTCGGAATCGACTGCATAGGGGTCACCTTCGCGCCCGACGTCCTCGCGTGATCCCTTGTTTGAGAGATCATCACATTCAGGCAAGACGTCGTTGGTGTAGGGATCGTCAACACTGGGATAATCGACGCTGGAGCAATGTGATGTTTTCAGATGAGTCAAGGTTCACTGTTGATTTTTTGGACAGACGTAGGAGGGTGTGGCGTCGTCGAAACGAGCGCTTCCAAGACGTTAACGTCATCAGACATGATCGATTTGGGGGTGGTTCTGTTATGGTGTGGGGAGGCATCACTGTTGCTGGAAGAACGGCTTTACATGTTGTTGCAGGGCGTGTTACAGGCCAGTACTACCGGGACAACATCTTGGCAGTCCATGTTGTGCCGTTCGCACGACGTCATGGCCGCCGTTTCATCTTCCAGGATGACAACGCAAGATGTCACAGGGCCAGGATCGTTACAGGTTACCTCCAACAACAGAACATCACCACATTACCTTGGCCAGCACTGAGTCCCGACCTCTCCCCCATCGAGCATGTCTGGGACATGCTTGGACAGAGGTTACGTCAACGTCAACAACGTCCTGCCAATGTCCAAGAACTTGCTGCTGCGTTGCAACAGGAATGGGACAATCTGGACCAAAATGACCTTAGATGTCTCATTAGGAGTATGCCACGTCGGATCAATGCTTGTTTGGCAAACAGAGGAGGATTTACCCGTTACTGACTTGGTTGTGATGCTGTGGTAACTTTGCTGTTTGACCCTGGGTATCATTTTACCCTTATAATGGTCAGTCTGTGCCTTACTTAGTCTAACGATCATTTGGAATAAATCGATGAATGTGAACTTCATTTCATTTTGTCATTTCATTTTGTCATTTGTTTCTTCGTCAGTTTCATTAGGTGACTTTAATAACACTTAAAAATCAAATATCCCCTACTTTTTTTGAATAGTATATATTATGGCTATGAGTATTTTTTTAAAAAATGATGGATTGGAGAGAGAGAGAGAGAGAGAGAGAGAGAGAGAGAAATGGGGTTTAACGTCCACTCGACACAAACTAGGTCATTTCGGGACTAACATATGGGTTAATTTTATTTCAATTATTTGCTTGTGCGTAGGTGTCTTTAGCAGTGGGAGGAAACCGGAGAAAACCCACGAGGTTGGACAGGCGACCCTACTCCTTGTCACGTACAACCGGGGATTCCAAACCACGCCAGTTGACTCAATGACAGGCTTTATGATACAGCACGCACGTGCTAACCATTCAGCCATCCAACCCCCCCATGATGGATTGGCTTCCAAACTCAAACTTGCTTGAAAATCGCATTTTGTGGGGCATATTGACACAAAAACATTACGATTATAGATTAGGGCATAAAGAATTTTATATTTTCAAATATTGATATAAATTACCGGGTATTGTCTTTTAAAGTTACAATTTCATATTTTCTAAGAAAGTCAAAACATAATTATTTTTATGTCATTTGCTCAATAGGTAGTTACTCTAGTAACGTAATAATGTATCGGCTCTGAATACTAATAGCCTAGTAGAAGGCTATTCAGAGCCGATACATTATTACGTTACTAGAGTAACTACTCAATAGGTTGTCAACTCACAATTATACGATCTTCCTCACACTTAAAAATCTTCACACCGGAAATAATAACACAATTACCTCCCTTGTTTTCTATTCCCCACCATGGAATAGCTATCTTCAAAGGTTTGAATTTGAAATAATATTTTTGCCAATTTCTCAACTGGCAATAGTGAATTATAGGATTAATAGGATTATTCTTTAACAAGGTAGGACTGTTTATAGATACCATCTATTTTAGGGCTTTATTTTAATACATTTTAAAACTATAACTTAAAAATATGAAATTGTAACTTAAAGTTTCAAATAATGGTAGATTTGGGTGGATTTGGGTAAATCGTCGTCGTACTGTACCGGTGAGAACTTGGATTATTTTTTTGTCAATTTATGTGTACCGAATCATTATAAGACATATATGTGTACCTATTGGGTGATTTATGTAGGGAGTTTTATCCGGGTCTTTTCTTCTTTGAAATCTGTGTTTAATCGCAGAAAAATTCATGCATTTTATCAGTTCTTTACAATTCATTATATCCAGACAATTATTAATATATCAGTTCTTACAACTTCGTCATGCGATAATGATCAAGTCACGTGTCCAAAAATTTAGGGTACGACCATTGCATTTTTAGGGTTGTTTATAATTTTATGCATAAAGTTTACTTTAAATGTTCGGAAAAGAGTATCCCCAGAACTAGTTCACTGGTTTAAACTTATGTTAGTGATATTAAACTGCTATATTTTGAACGTTTAATGTGGTCATATAAAAAAAATCAGAATTTTACTGTATATCCTGTTCCCCCTACTCTCTTAGTCTATTGCTCCCGCCAAATCCCACATCTCGCGGGAGTGATCGCGGGAACATGGCCGACTACAAAGAATTTACATCGATGTGATTAGGTTTAACGTGAAATAGTGATGTGTTTTAAGTTTAATACGACAAAATGAAACGGTAAAATTGCAGATAAGCAACCTAGTTCAATAATCACTGAATTTAATGCACTATTGTTTGGGTTACTGCACACATTTCACCAAGAATTATGTTGTACTGACTCGATTTGAAGCCATTTTCTTAGCATTTGCATCATTTTTTAAAAAGACAATTTAGGATTTAAACACGGCCTGGTGTTTGGCTATTAATTTTTAATTAAGTTAGGTTTGGATTAGGACAATCCATGCAATTTACTTGTTTGTGACATATTGTTATCTTTATGTGTTAATTTTTTGCATCGACAAAAAGTAGATCCAAAAACAACAAAATGACTGAAAAGATCCAATACAAACCTGGTGATAAGATCTTTGCCAAGATGAAAGGCTATCCACATTGGCCAGCCAGAGTAAGTAACTGTTTCTATTTTTGGTTATTATTTAATTTTGTCAGAAATAGTCATCAGTACTGTAACTACTCCTATTTACAACAGAAACTGATTCATCCTCCATCATATTCATTTATGAGTTGTTCAATATTTGACTTTGCTGACATAATTAATAAATAGGCATACCATACAAATAATGTACCACACAACTCTTGTTATATCTGATCAAACTGATTTGTTAACAAATGACGATCCAACAAACTTATATTGGTAAACCAATCAGGCATATTTACAGACCTAATAATAAATTCATCAGCTACGTACTTAATTTATACATATTTATGATATTACAGATATAAAGAAATAAAACATTCTTTTCACAAACGTTCAACATTGAAAATTTTGCAGTTCCTTGAGAGATCTATGCGGTGCGTGATCCATGATTCCACGTGTTGTACTTGATTGCGAGCGGTAAATTTTACCTGCACGTTATTTTTTATAAAATCACTTTTGGTTTATTATAGATTCATTTGACAGTTGTGTTCAACCTCTCCATTAGACTTATTCCCGAGTCCAAAACGTCACCTACCTGAGTCCGACATGTCACATGCCTGAGTCCGAAACGTCAAGGCCATATTTTTTTGAGTCCGAAATGTCGTAAGTCCAAAATGACGCGGGCCTGAAATGACATGTAATCATTACATGTACATGTAGGAGAAAACTTAACTACGCATGTTGTATTGCATGTCACTTTGCCTGTTGACTAATATTTTAGAAGAAATCCACTTAAGCCATTGTTGACTGATGACTTGTTTGGAGAAACATATCAAATACACTAATACATATATGTTTTATATTATTATATATTTTAGATTGATGAAATACCAGAGGGAGCAGTAAAACCGCCAAAGGGAAAATATCCAATCTTTTTTTACGGTACACACGAAACGTAAGAACAATTTTAAGAAAAGCATTCTATTAGTTACATGTTATCTGGGATCTGGCCTTTTTTATACGCCCACCTTTAAAAGTGCGTATTTGGTTTTCCTCCTACATGTATTGTCAACAATTGATTATCTTTAGAGGTTAAAGATTTCATCTGATTGACTTTCATTTGTAGACAGTATTTATTCAGGAGATGAAAAGCCTATTGACTTTCAACAATTTCCGATAATTACAGTCAACATTTTCCCCTTGATCAATCTGAAAAATCTTGCCATGATGCTCTAAAGTTGTCATTCCATTGACAGTAAATTGATGCACATTGTTTATGAGCATGAGATCAAAAGGACTTGATTTTCAAGAATTTATGATGATTACTGTCAAGAGTTATGACTCTTGTCAATTTGAAGAATCCTGTGGACGTTTTAGTTTCTACAAAGTAAAGTTTTTATGCAATTGACTTGAGTGTTATGTCTGACCCATGTTTTAAAGAGTAGGCTCGCTAGCCTGGAGGTCGGGTGTTCGATCCCTGCATTGGCCGAGAAAGTTCATCTCGATTTTCCGGCGTGGTTTCCCCATGTCAGTGATGCAGAACAGAGGGCCTGACAAGGACAGCTGCCTAGTCGTTTGGATGGGACGAAAAACCGAGGACCCGTGTACACTTAGGCGTGCACGTAAAAGATCCCTTGGCAGTTGGAATTCGATATAAGAGTAGGCCGTAGCGCGGCTGCCCGGGCAAAATTTCCCTCATAGCACACTGTATGGCGTATGCCCGTCTTCAATTAGCCCAGGTTACAATGTAGGTGCAGAAGAGTAGGACGTTAAACCCCATTTCATTCATTTAAAGAGGAGAAAACATCAATTCTTCATAAAACTTTAGTCAGACACCAATGACGTGTTTAAGTAATAATATGCTCCATATATTTTAAGGTACTTCACCTCACCTTGTACATACATGTATGAGATACAACAGTGAGCTTTATGTGATTTACATTTCTTTCGGATATATACTGGAAACCTTGGTCACAATGGAAAATCTTGTGGATGCTCTACAAATTGGTTAAACATGCACTTTAATATAGATCATAGGGTCTGTCATTGAGTCAAAAATGGTGGGGTTTGGATCCCACACTTGTCTGTGGCAAGGTAAATTTTCACCTGCCTAACCTAGTGTATTTACTCTGGGTCGTTCGGTTTTCTCCAACTTTTTAAGACTACATGTACTATGCAAAAGTTAATTATTGAAATAAAATGATAATTTAGTCCCGAAATGACTTAGTTTGTGTTGCGGGAGGTTAAATACTGTTTCTCGGTCTGTTAAAAATGTCTCAGAAGCTCAACTAAAACCATCACAAATTATTTTTCTCTCTATTTTTTCCAGTGCATTTTTAGCTCCTAAAGATATTTATCCATATGAAAAGTTTGTAGATAAATATGGAAAACAGAATAAAAGAGGTGGATTTAATGAAGGCTTAGAAGAGATCATAAAAAACCCAAATGTTAAATTTCAAGGAGTAAGCTTTTGTTTCCATATTTTAGCTAAGTGAAATTGACATCTATTGATGTACATGTATTTCACACTTATTCAGTGTGTAACTGTAATTGAAACTGAGCTAAAACAATTGTTGACCTAGAGAACACATTTCTGCTCGGCAAAAAAATTGTAGGCTTTCCAAAATTGCAGGTAAAAAATCAATTAGAATTCCAGTCCAATTAATCCCCTGTAAACTTGTGAATCGATTCGTATTTCACATAGATAGTTGTTATGTTAATACCCTGGCTAAGACTGTACAGAACAGTTTTACTGTAGGTGGAAGAGGTATTTTCAGATGCATTTAAGCTATCAAAATGAAATTTATACAGGATTTTTTTTTGGAGGGGGGGGGGGGCCGTCAAATATAAATCTGATTTTTGTTCCATTGATACACTGAACTTTCTGAGGATTTAATGAACTGTTTAATAATGTTTAAAGACTGGAGTAGTACTAATAGTCTAACTGGGTTTTTTTTCAGAATAAAAGTACTGATGAAGAAGGAATGGAAGAAGAAGAAATTGGGGAAGAAGAAAAAGATGTAAAGGAGGAAGAGGAGGAAGAAGAAGTAGTTAAATCTAAAAAGGTAGACTATTTGTAGATTGATACGATTCTAGCAATGGCATTTCTTAATAAAACTGGAAATACACAGGACACAATAACTGTTTATTATTCAGCTGTTTATTATTCAGCTATGTTTCGAGTTTGTCTGGGATAGAGAATCCTACTTGATACCTCACAATAGTAAGCACTGAGTGTATTTGATAGAATTGTGTCCTGTGTACTTACAATTATCAGCCAAATAAGAATAGAAATGGAACCGTTTTGTATGACAAGAAAATGACTGAAAAACTGAAAAAAAAAGATGCACAAAGAATTAAAATCTTTGTGGCTTTGAAGCAGATATTTCTAATGATCATAATTGTGTAATATTTCATTAAATGTTTGCTTACTTGACCATCCGTTTTATATTGGTTCAGTGATTTTACTAAATGATTATTTCAGAAAGCCAAAGGTGGGCAAAGTCGAAAAAGAAAAAACAGCATGGATACAGATAAAAAGGTAACAATTCAAATAAGAATGGCATACAAGTTAATATAAACATAACAATTTACTGGTTCAAATATCCTAAATTAAATTCAGACATGATTTTTTCCTGCTTTAAAGCAGATTTCCGCTTATGGTTATGATTTTTGACAACACTCTTGTTACGACATTGTTCAGCTTTAATTCAAGCACCTTGTTTGAAAATCGTTATATCATAAAAGAAAAATCATTTCAATTTCTAACTCGTGAACTCCAAAATATCTATCCATAACTTTAAAACCTGCTAACCGGATGTCAGCAATGTAAACATTAACAGTACGGTATCGTATACTCGCACGAGATTGAACGAGATCGCCAGTCACTGTGTACAAGTAACATAGAGTTTCTCTATGGTACCATATCTATGATGATACGTAATCGTCTCCAGTTCTTTCGCACAATGGCTAAGGTCGTTGATCGAGACGTCAACACCAAACTATTAGACAAATGAGTTTACAATGTATGGAAGTGGAAATGGTTGAAATGGCAGGTGGAAGGCGAGCTTGTGAGACGTTCTATTCGTAAAGTGAATGTCCCAAGAATTGTGAATTATTAATATTAATCATGGAGGGAGGGGGATGGAGAAGTTTAGAGCAACACATCTCTAGAAAATTATACAGGGACAATCAAAAGATCGGATCCGTAGGTCAAACATTATTTTTTATACACCCACATGGAAATGTGGTCGTATATTGCCGTCGCCCTCGTCCGTCATCCACAATTTCTTGTGAACACTCTACAGACTACATTTATCATCTGATTGTTTTGAAATTGATATATGTTGTTTGCATTAGTGAGATAAAAAAGCCTATTTAATTTCAATAACTTCCGTTAATTTCTTCTGGAGTTGTGGCCTTTGTTTCATTTTGTTGCACCTTGTGAACACTCTAACAACAAAAGTTATGAACCGATCTGTATGAAATTTATATGCATCATTTAAATTAGTAAAACAAAGAAGCCTATTGAATTTCAGCAAATTCCGTTAATTTTTTCACTTTGTTGAAATTGTGGATGCTCTAATGATAACAGTTATCATCTGATCTGTTTGAAATTTATATGCATCATTTAAATTAGTGAAACGAAGAAGCCTATTGAATTTCAGCAATTTCTGTTAATTACATCTAGAGTTATGGCCCTTGTTTCACTTTGTTGAATCTTGTGAACGCTCTAATGACAACAGTTATCATCCGATCTGTTTGAAATTGATATGAATCATTTAAATTAGTGAAACGAAGAAGCCTATTGAATTTCAGCAATTTTTGTTAATTACGGCATGAGTTGTGGCCCTTGTTTCACTAACGACAAAAGTTAGTATCCGATCTGTATGAAATTTATATGCATCATTCATATAAGTAAAATAAAGAAGCCTATTGAATTTCAGCAATTTCCGTTAATTACATCTACAGTTATGGCCCTTGTTTCACTTTGTTGAATCTTGTGAACAATCTAATGACAACAGCTATCATCCGATCTGTTTGAAATTGATATGCATCATTTAAATTAGTGAAACGAAGAAGCCTATTGAATTTCAGCAATTTCCGTTAATTACGCCGTGAGTTGTGGCCCTTGTTTCACTTCGTTGTACCTTGTGAATGCTCTAACGACAAAAGATAGTATCCGATTTGTATAAAATTTATATGCATCATTCAAATTAGTAAAACAAAGAAGGCTATTGAATTTCAGCGATTTCCGTTAATTACATCTTGAGTTATGGCCCTTGTTTCACTTTGTTGAATCTTGTGAATGCTCTAATGACAACAGTTATCATCCGATCTGTTTGAATTGATATGTTAAATTAGTGAAACGAAGAAGCCTATTGAATTTCAGCAATTTCCGTTAATTACGCCGTGAGTTATGGTCCTTGTTTCACTTTGTTGTTCCTTGTGAACGTTCGAACGACAAAAGTTATCATCCGATCTGTATGAAATCTTTGCATTATTTGAATTAGTAAAACGAAAAAGCCTGTTTAATTTCAACAATTTCAGTAGATTTTTCCAGAGTTACAGCCCTTGTTTTAGTTCTTAGAACCTTGTGAACCCTCAAACGACAAAAATTATAATGTCATCTGTATGAAATTGTCTATTAAATTCCCCTAATTACCTACAAAAGAATAAATGTGCAACAATCCTTGTCGACTGCTCGGACGATTTAGCTGCTGTGGGCGTATGTTTTGTTGCCTGGCAACCTATATTTTTGTTAGTAAGTATTCTGTAAATGGTAGAGATATAAATTAAATATAAGTTAAGCCAAAATCTGTAGTAAATTAGTATACAAATAAAAGAACTTTAAAATTCATTTTCAGACCCCGATCTGTATGAAATTTAAAAATAATAAAAAATAATAATAATCTGTCGAATTTCAACAATTTCTATTAATTACCTCCAGGCCCTTGTGTCAGTTTGTAGAATTTTGTAAACCCTCAAACGACGAAAATTATAATCTGATCTGTATGAAATTGTCTTGTAAATGCCCCCATTACCTACAAAAGAATAAATATGCAACAACAATTGTCGACAGTTAGGACGATTTAGCTGCTGTGGATGTATGTTTTATTTTAAAAGCGAATTAAAGAACACTTTGCAGATAACACCAAAATTGACTGAAATATTTTTTAATATTGAAGGAAATGTTACGATACAAATAATTGACCTTTTCAAGACTGATCTCGATAGTGTCAAAAATATGTCATTTGGAAAATATTTGAATCAAAATGGATTCACACTTTTAAGAACTTAGGCAATCAATGGATGGCTCAACGATAAGATTTAGTCCCAAATGGTCACCACCCCATTCATTTACAGAATGACGAGATATTCTTGTTTTCTACATGAAGCCATCTGTTATGCCTGGAAAATTGGGATCAATTTTAGCTATTTCCAAAGAGTCTCCCAGGCCCCTTTATAAGGATTTTGGGAGATCACAAATGATATTGTTGCTTTCAAGGTAGTGATTTGAAATTTTCCCCTCTTCAAAAACCTATCTTCATTAGCCCAATCGAAGCAGAAAAGTAGGATGTTAAACCATATTTCATTTCTATTCAAAAACATTAATTCTTGTAGCATTTCTATTGATATACAGCAATTTTATTGTCAGGGTATTAATTAATATGAACATGATGTTAAACCATATTTCATTTCTATTCAAAAACATTAATTCTTGTAGCATTTCTATTGATATACAGCAATTTTATTGTCAGGGTATTAATTAATATGAACATGATTGATTTGTTTTTGTTGTTCAGCAGAAACCTAAGAAAAGAGCAAGGAAGATATCTAAATCATCATCTAAAGTATCAGAAGATGAAGAAAGTGCTGAAGAAGATTTTGATGCAGGTTCCTCTTCATCTAAAGAAGATTCTAATGATGAGGTACAACATTTTGTTAAATCCACATTCAGAAGATTAAGCAGCTGTTTGCCTATTTTTTCTTTAAAATTACTATATAGCTAAAATGTGGTTGTATATTGTCGTCCGTCCGTCGTCCACATGCTTTGTGGGCTAAAGTTAATATCTGATTGACTTTAAATTTATACACAGTGTTTAAGATCATAAGATGAAGAAGCCTGTCAACGATTTCCGATAATTACTGCCAGAGTTATGGTACTTGATTACTTTGAAAAATCTTGTGGACATTTTAAAGGCTAAAGTTAATATCCAATTAAAACAATGTTTAAGGTCATGAGACGAAGAAGCCTATTGATTTTCAACGATTTACACAGTGTTTAAGGTCAAGAGACGAAGAAGCCTATCGATTTTCAACGATTTCTGATAATTACTACCAGAGTTATGGCCCTTGATCACTTTAAAGTTAATATCCGATTGACTTTATATTTAATACAGTTTTAAGGTCATGAGACAAAGAAGCCTATCAATTTTCGGTGATTTCCAATGATTACGGCAATTGATATTAAATGTTTTGTATGCTAAATGTTAGAATAGGGCAGAACTAAAAGCCAAATGGGTTGTTACTCGTAATCCGATTTTAGTGTGTTATAAATGTTTTCAGTTCTGACAAAAGAAGAAAATATGCCACAACCCTTGTTGATTCCCTGAACGTCTTAGTTGCTGTGGGTGTATCAGCTGATGACAATTTATTTTTAAAATCTTTCTGGAAATATGCACTTTGTTTCCTAAGGTTTTAAAAGTGTGTTCTGAGCTGAAACAATTCTTTGTTTGGGATCACTATATATTTTAGCAATACACAAAAAACACATACTTATGGAAAAACAGCTACTTATTTATTTGGGCGACGTTTCGAAGAGTATTCTCTCAACGTTATCAAGCTTGATAACGTTGAGAGAATACTCTTCGAAACGTCGCCCAAATAAATAAGTAGCTGTTTTTCCATAAGTATGTGTTTTTTGTGTATTGCTCTACCCAGTTACTAAATGCCTCTTAAAGATTAATATATATTTTAGATTATCCAAACATAGAATAAACAATGTTTAGTAAAATCTTAAGATTGGCGACTTGCATGAGTAAAACTAATGACATGTATTGAGGTGGGTTTATCATGGGAAGAAAGTTGTTTTTAATCATTGTGAATAAAATCAGCTTTAACTTTAATAGTTATAGATGGTTATAAATAGTATAACCACATTTACCAGTACAACACAACGCAAAGAGATGGGACATGGTACAATGAAATAGCTTGATTTTCAGACACTGTACTGAACAGACGGATAAAAGTTTAGACAGCAACTAGAAGATGCAGTGAATAATGGAATTTATTTTGGAAATTTTGCTTATCAGCGTGGAGTCCTGGACATACATTTAGGCTATCAAAGAATTTAAAAGTTGTTAAAGAAAAATGTTAATCCCCTAAAGACATTGACTATATCTGTAACTTCTTTTGACAGGAGAATGTATTGTCCAGTTCCATGTTGCTCGAAAGTGAAATAAAGAAAGAAATCAATGAGAGAGTATCCCCAGTTGTAGTCCTACATAAACCACAGAAATCATACACTGTTATGAAAGATTCGGTTATCAAACCATCAACTTCTAATCATTCAAGAAAATCTCTAAATCATCAACAGACGTCAGTCTATATCCCAATATCTATCTCTCGACCACAATCATTAACCATTAATACTGCTCCAATAATTGATAGTCCTCAAACTTTACCTCAGAATGTAGTTTCACCCACTTACCAACGTCCAACAACAGATATTTCAAGTAATGACACTTCTTCTTCTCATAGCTGTTGTTCTTCTGAAGATCCTTATTGCCAACAAGAAGATCCAGTAGAACAGCCTATTGTAGCTATGATAGATACACCTCTTCCTAATGTTCTTGGTACTTTCACTGCGACTGATAGTTTACACTTAATCTGTTTGATAGAAGAACAGTCGCAGAGAATAATTTTAAACATAGGTGGTGGAAGATTTGCAACATCGGTGGCTACGCTACAAGCTGATCCCTCAAGTCTGTTAGCTCGCATGGTATCTCCAAAATCCCAGATGAAACCGTATGAGAGTAAAGATGGTTTTGATTTTTATTTCATCGACCGTGATCCCTTTCATTTTAAAATCATCTTAAACTATCTGAGAAACATTAATATCAATCCAGTTTTACATTATCTACCAAGAAAATCATCACACCTGTATCAGTTGCTTAGTGAAGCCCAGTTTTATATTCTATCTGGATTAGAAATGTTGATACAAGAACGTATTAAAACAATTTCTAATGTTTAGATTTTATCTGTCAAGATATGCCAGTATGTTTTATGAAACAACAGAGAAAAGCTTGTTTTGTGTTAATCTATTGACCTTGCTATATACCTTTGATTAGTGTTAAAAGAACAGTGTTCTCTTGTTATTATTATTATAAGATGTTTCTACCCCTGCCTGTTAGATTCTTATAGACAACATTGATTGCACCAAGAATCTGGAGGTTTCCTCATGGTATCATTAATAGGGCATCTAATGGTATCACTTCAGCAAGATTCATGTTTACATTTAAGTATAACTTCAGAATTTCGTTTGTTAATTTTTCAATTTCAAAAGTACAATTTATTTAACAAAATATGAAAATATGTTCTTGTTTTTTTTTTTAAAGTAAAATTTGCTTCCAATCTATCTACAAATATATCCTTAAAGGTTCTAAGAACAATAACTTAAGAATTTTTACATTTTGTATGAACGATCAGTTTATGTTGTTTCACTGTTTAAAGTTTTTGGTTCTTTGAAGTTAATTGTGGTTATTGTGGTTAAATAGTATGTCCTTGTTGATTTTCACCTTGCTATTCCGTTATTCCTATAATGTAGTTCATTCACAAGCCAGAACTAGAAACCCAGGTCACATTCTATTTACTCTAAAAGATGTTTGATCCATCCGTTAAAAAAAAAAGTTTCTATTTAACATGTCTTAACTGAAAGCATATATATTTTTGTCACTTGTGCTTGTCAAAATTAGATTGTGATAAAAGTCCAGAACATAGTTTCAAAACTATCAGGGATGACCTTGTTTTGTTGGCTCTTGAATATTCCGTCTTTGTTGTTATTCTATTGAATATTCTGTATTTGTTAGTCTGTTGGATATTCCTCCTCTGTTACTCTATTGAATGTTCAATATTTGTTACTCTATTGAATATTTAGTCTTTGTTGCTCAATTGAATATTCAGTAATTGTGACCCTGTTGAATGTTCAGTATTTGTGACTCTGTTGAATATTCAGCATTTGTTACTCAATTGGATATTGTGAATTTGTTACTTTATTGGATTTTTGGTATTTATTACTGTATCAGATATTCCATATTTGTCACTCTACTATTGAACGTTCAGTATTTGTTACTCTATTGATTGTTCAGAATTGTTACTTTATTCAAAATTTGTTTTGTTGCTCTGTTGAACATTCAACCTAGTAAAATAGGAAATTAATGCAGTAAATGAGACAGGCACATGCATTTTAATACACATTTTGTTTCTCTAACATGAAATAAATTACAGGGTAGTTACCCTGTTAATCAAAAATACAATAACCAGCAGTTTTTAATAAGATGACTGACTAATCAAAATTAGTGAAAACATAACCATGATGATGTCTTTCTCGTTTAAAATTACAAAATTTACCTCTTGGACAGTAGATGAGCCCATTTTTCATTTCTTGCCTCACAGTAATTTTGATTTCCTTCATAGAATAGGTAATCTTCACTGAATGTAATAGAACACAGTTGGATGCGTATAGTGTTTGTATGTGCTAAAAAACACAAAATTGATTGGTCTTTCATGTTGGTAATTTAAACGACAGTATGAATTATGATGAATCATGTTTGAAAATATCTGTAGGTTCAGTTAAGAATGATACACCACTAACTCACTGGCTGAATTACAAAAAAAATTATGATTGAAAGACTAGAATGTCAAAAATCATGAGAGAGAGAAAAAGTCTTAAGAGTATTTTTGGAGAAGAATTTTATTTTTTATTGTTTGACTTTGTTCAGTTGAAATAAATAATATCAACAAATATTCTAGTCTTGTTTTGATTTTTTGTAAGGTGGGAAAGGGTGTGACAATCCTGAAAATTGTTGATGCACATATGTACACTTACTTTAAATTGTCAACAATTTATTATGACTTTAGGATTTTCATATGGAGGATGATAAAAAGATAAAGGGTAAAAAAGGAAAAAAGAGAGTAAAAGAAGCTAAGCATGTAAGGAAGAAGTCTGCTAAATCAGAGGAATCATCAGAATGTGATGTTAGTACAGATGAAGAAGCAGAAATAGTGAAAAAGCCCAAGAAAGAAACCAAGCCAAGAAAACCCAAAACACCCGTCAATAGAGCTCCAAAAAAAGGTAACTACTATATATTTGAATATTGTATTCAAAATGCAAGTTTGAGTATTTCAATAATATTTGTTTAGACTCGCCCTATTATCAATTGGCTATCACTACACAGAGTAGTATATACTGTGTCTTATATATCACAGTTCGCTATACAGAATTACCGGAATTACCCCCACTCCTGATGGAAATTTGGGTGAACTTTTAAGGAATGGACCTTATATATTATAAAGAAACCAACCTCTTTTGTTTGACCTCATTCCTGCCAGATTTAAAAAAATTGTCTAATATAAATCTTTTTACGAGCAGACACATGCACTTTTTTACCAAAAGACCAGTTTAATGAGAGTCTGTGTGAAATGTTAATGTTATTGTGTATGATAATAGAAGATTATATTTATTAGGTCGATCATCAACTGGTGGTAATAAAAAGAAAGTAGAGACTGTTAGTGATAGTATTAGTTCTGATAGTGATAGGTATGTATTACATTATTAGGCCAGATAATTATTGACAATAAACACATCTAATGTATATTCTGGTTGGAACTTGGTCTTCTAATCTATATGAAATAAATGTCTTATTTTCTCCAAACAAAAATTAATTATTTAAATGTAGACACATGATAATTGAGCTGAAAAGAAATTTCCAACTGTAAGTTTGATAATCCGATTTGACTATCAAATTCAAATTCATCTTAATTATCTCATAGAGCTGTTTAGAGGAAAGGGAGTTGGTAATACCAATCAAGCATTTTAAACCCCCTACTACAGTACCTATGTTTCGAGGGGATACTTGATATTGTTTTAAAGACTATTATCTTATTTTACTGCACTTCCTGTCTTTGTCATCATAATGTGTAAGGTTTTCCCCTCACAATCACACTTCAAAATGATTTTATTCAGTGAAGAATCTGATGGTATTAGCAGTTGGAAGAAAAGAGATGAAGAAAAGAAAAAGGAAATTCAGAAAAAACTTAAAGAAGAAGCAGAAAGGTAATATTGGAATAGATTTTTCAAAAGATAAACTTAACGTTGCACAGTGGTTAAATTTACAATCTAAATCTGGTTGTAATTATTTCGTTGGTTGATTTTGTGTTAGCGGTAGACGGCCCTTTTCTGTTCATATTGCAAGCCACCATGTGTCAGACTCAGAGACTTGTTTTGAGATGTCAATCATTATAGAAATTTCTGCCAAATTATGAGTTCCCTGCTCATATTTAAGTCTGTTGTCCTGGTCTGTGTTAGGCAGATTCTTCCAAGGTATTTTCAGAATTTGCATTATAAACTGTTTGATTTATTAAAACTGATGATTAAGTAATAGTTAAATATGTAATCTTTAAATTCAGGCGAGAAAAAGAAGAGGAAGAAAGAATGAATGTAGCTAGAGAAGAGTTATTAAGAGAAAGAGAAAAAGAACAAAAAGATGAAGAAGAATCACATTCTGATAAAAAGAGAGAAAGAAAGAAAAAGAAATTTGAAGATTTTGTTGTAAGTTTATAAATTCAGCATTGTGGGTGCAGTAAAATAAATCTTTATGACCTAACAGGGGTAGAAACTAACCTGAAATGGTCACTAGCCATTTGAGCTAGTAGCTTTCAGATCTTACTAGCCCAGCCAACATTCTACTAGTCCAGTAAGAAACTGACACCAGATGTAAAAATTCATTCTGATTTAGACTGTTGTTTTGTTCATCATTAATCAATCAAAAACACCAAAATACATGCACTTAAATTTATTTTGGCACATTTAATAATACAACAAATAGACTTTGTTCATTGTTGCCTCTGTTTTTTCATCAAATAATGAATTCATTAATAAGTCATGAAGACATATATATTAAAATTCAATTTGGCACATTTCATTTCATATTTCATATTTGTCCTTTGGAAGTTTAATCTTCAATACAATAGATTTTTTCAGGGGCCTCATTTGTATTTATATTTCATTTATGTTTTATAAATTCAGATGTGATGTGCAAAATAATATAATGTAATGTCCTTAAAATTTAATATCATAAGTTGTCACGAGTGATGAAGTTATTTATGGCAGAGCACGTGTATTTACAAGCGTCTTCATTGCCGTAATATATCGCTGTTATAAAACCATTTAACATCCATGTTCTTCGCTAAATTGCTTCATGTATATATATCACCGATTATATTAGGCGATTTATGATCTGAAAAGTTATTCAATTATATCGACTTTCGCTTCATAATGCATTGAGGTGTAAACAGAGGCTGTTCCGTACCCTCCCTCGTTATCATACAATTTCAACCAATCAGCAAGCTCGCTTGCTCAGATTTCATACCGGTATGGCGAAATGGAACAGCCAAAGATTAAAAACACGTAAATAGTGATGGCGATGATTTTCGGAAGTTAGTTTCATGACAGTGTTCATTAAGTACAAATTATCAATTATTACAACTACCAAAATATCAGGTCGCTACACAGGCTAATTGATTTTGATTTACATTGCCCGTACTGACTTTTACTCGCCATGGGCGAGTGGGCTAGCGTTAGTTTCTATCCCTGCCTAACAAGAATTATTAATTGGGGAAACAGCTGTTGTGGTGCAATACTATTAGAATTAAATGTTTTCGGTGCCATTAGAACAAACATGCTATATTCTGTTGACTAGTGTTATGAGAGCTGTGCAGTTATATTGATGTCATTTTTCAATAACAGTGTATTATTGTTATGAGAGCTGTGCAGTTATATTTATAATATCATTTTTCATTAACAATGTATTATTGTTTAAGGATGCTTAAGTCATTTATTCATTGATGTAGAACTACTTGTACTAATCAAAATGCATCTATCTCATGTAATTACTACATATCTGTTGGCAACTTTATTTATATATGTAGCATTACCACATTCGTCCTCAGCGCTGTGTGACACTCAGTCAGCGTATTGACCGTGTCCTACACTCCTCGCGCACAGAGTGCCAAGAAAAAATATCCGATAAAAAACTCACAATTTGTGTCAACATATTTTAACCTATATGAATAAAAAGCCAATTAAATTACCTTTCTAGTGATACAAGTTTCATTTTTGTTCTTTATTGATAATGCACTCAAAAAACAAGTTATAAAATACCCACGCTAATATTACGTCACTGGCAGTTAGCCATTGTTTTTCCATTAGCAAATTAATTAGTGTTCACGGCACGCCCGGGTTTTTGAGCGGTACCTCGCTGGGGATTCTCATAGCTCGGAAAGTTCTTCACGTACGTCATTGAAACTTTCAACGAATCATCAGGAAGAACCCCGCAAGGTTCCGCGGCATTCCCGATCAAAATGGCGGGTATAGTTTTTGAGATACAAATGTTTTAAAAGATTGAAGTCAAATTTTTCTAAAACTCAATGTTGCGGCTGGAATTTTTAAAACGGTGAGAACCTTTATGAAATATCGTAGATTATAATGATATATGTGTCGTCGGTAATAAAAACTGTTTTCATTGAGGAATAAGCCGCAGAAGTTTGGTTGCCAAGCCGAGTTCTTACGGCGAAAACTTCACGGGCGATTCCATTCATAGCAAAATGGTATTCCCCTATGACGAACATTGTTGACATCACGTGATTGTCTTTGTTGAGTCTGATTGGACAAACTCGCATGTCATTTCAGCTGTAGGGGGTGGAAGGCGGGTAATCCTTCCATGGATGCTATCACGCACGATATAAACAAAGCACTTGTTATTTTGACATTTATGTATGGATATGACTTGACAGTTGTCTTGGAACCGAATGACAAACATGTATGTCCCATAAATTAGTTAATTTTAGATATTAATTGAATTACTAAAACTATAATAGTATAATTATTTACCAAACATTTCATCAATAATCAAGTAGTCTAGAGATATAGGCCTATCAAATAATATTATCATTTTGATTATGAAACTCAATAAAATGGATCAATTTTAGATATTAATATAATTAGTAAATTATGTAAAACTACAATTATTTACCAATCATTTTATCAGTAATCATGTAGGCTAATTAATATTATCATTTTGATTAAAATGTAACGCAATAAAAATGGTTTAATTTTAGATATTAATATAATTAGTAAAATTATGGAAAACTATAATTATTTACCAAAATTTTTTCAATAATCTAGTAGGCCTATTAAAATTATTATTTTATTAAAATGTAACTCAATTAAAATTAGTTAATTTTACATGTTAGATTGTCAGTAAAGGTTACTGGGCCTTTATAAGCTAGACTACTTGATTATTGATGAAATGTTTGGTAAATAATTATAGAATAATCTTTCATTTCATTTTCCAATTATAATATGTGAGGGAATTTAGCATTCCTATATCATATAAAACTTTTGAAACCTATTTTTCATGTATTTGTGAAAGATGCAAGCAGTTTCATGAAGGCGCATCAACTTTCGACATTCCACGTCTCATCTTTGAAATATTGAACAAAATAAACAATGTCTAAAAACAACTTCTTTATTTAATATGTTCTCTGGTGGGTATTTGACATTTGGAAACTGTAATCCCCTCTTCAATACCTTTCCAATGATATATTACAACCCATACTTTGAGCACCGAATAAATGACACCCGATTGTGACGGAATCTGGCATGTCGGCCATCTTGGATTCCAAGATGGCCGCCATTTTTCTTTGAAGTCATAAAGTAGATCAAACTTACTTTATGGAGTGCAGAATGAAGCATTTTTAACAGCCGTGTAGTGTCATTTGATGCTGACCTCATAATTGCAGTACATTTTAATGGCAGTTTTAACCGCAATCCAAGATGGCCACCATCTCACGGAACGCGTATGTTGCAGAGGCATTTTGACGACAGAATTAAATTTGTCGTCCATTTTTCATCTGGGTGTCAAAATTTCAACTTATTGCTTTTGATATTACCAGAGTTATTGTAGGATCTTTAAAAGACTATTTTAGCCTCAAAAAGCCCTATTTCGAGGGCGTGTTTTGCCTATAGATAAGTCTATTACTTTTTGTCAGAAAAATGTTGCCATCTGCGATGAGAAAAATGTTCATAGAAAACTTATTTATTAACCGATTTTGAGAATTTAAAAAGTTTCTTCATGTTTGAAACAGGCTGCATGCATTAAAACAGAGAAAAACACATCATCTGTTATTTGAAATTTTGATGTGGTAATGCTAATATATGTTATATCCATTGATTATGGTATTTTTCAACAATTCTTTTTATTAGGATGATGAAGATGAGAAGGAAAGAAAGAAGAAGAAAAGAGAAAGTTTAGAAAAATTGAAGAATGCTAAATTAAAGGATGAAGATGATGAAGATAAACAAGATAAAAAGAAACGCAGATCTTCCGTTAAAGTGGAAAAGCAAAAAAATAAAAAAGAACATGATAAAACTAGTACTAAAGATAACAAGAGTAAAAGAACTAAAATAGTGAGTGAGAGTGAAAGTGAAGAAGAAAAAAGTCCAAAAAAATCAAAAGACAAATCTAAAAAACGTGATAGCAATGAATCGAACCAGTCATCTTCATCTGCTGCTAAAAAATCTAAAGTTATTGAAAGTGATGACGAGAGAGAAGAAAAGGCAGAAGAGAAGGAGAATTCAAGTAAAGAATCAAAGGAAATAGAAGAATCTGAGGTACCAATGTTAAAATATAAAAAAATGTTCTTTTTACTTGATAGACTTTAATTCATATTCTAACACAATGGAGCTAAACCTCATTGATTTAGGTTAAAATAAAGTAATGAATTGGTTGAATCTAAAGCATTATTTGGTTTGGGAATGTACTGTAGCAACATAGGAAAACATACCTGGTGTGGATGTAAAATTTTATTATCATTCCGCAAATCATGAAATCCAGTAAAATAACAAGAATTATTTTTGGTCTCGGATCAAATAGGGGGTGGTGTACATGAGTCAATCACTGTTCTTTTAATCGACTGCTTTTTGTTGGATTTAGCCGATGTTTAATCTAGCTGATTGGTAAAACAATGAACCGGCCACTATGTATTCAGTAATTAAGCTAGAAATTCTATGAAATAGATAATATGAACCCCACGAAAAAAATATGAAACTAAAAAGATTTCCCAAATGACCCTATTTTGGGGAGCCAAGCAACCGTAAACACACAAACATTTTTTCTTGGCCTTAAAACAACTATCTGGTAGTAGAATACATTGATTGTAATATAGATAATGGTTTATGTTATTATATTTACTAGAGTAAAGATGTTCAAAATGAATCCGGCAATACTAGTATTACAGATAATAAAACAACACATAATAAAGATGATGTTGAAGAAAGTAAAGATGATAATCAGCATACGAAATCACCTCAGGTATATCTTCATCAAATTCATCAAGTTTCAGTCATGATGCATTTCCACTCTCTTACAAAAAAATAGTAATTAATTTTGAATAATATTATATTCCAAAAAAATCTCAGACTGTTCTAATTACCAAAAATACAAGCTTTGTTGTCTACTTAAAATGAGATATTTTACACTAAAAGATATGCTTATATCTGCAGATTTCTCTTATATATTTTTCTCAATACAATCTACTTATGACAGGTATAAATCGTCCAAGACAATCAACAGGCTAATGTTGCTTTAGGACCATGGGGGGTTGGATGGCTGAATGGTTAGCGTGCGCGCGCTGTATCATAAAGTCTGTCATTGAGTCAACTGGCTTGGTTTCGAATCCCCGGTTGTACGTGACAAGGAGTAGGGTCGCCTGTCCAACCTCGTGGGTTTTCTCCGGTTCCTCCGGTTTCCTCCCACTGGTTTACCAGATAAAATGTCTGATGTATAAAAAATTCATTGATTTATTTATCAGTTAAAAATTAACCTACAGTTTTTGTATGGATTTTAGATTGAGAAAGAAACAGAAAAGGTAGAAATAAGTGAAAAAGATAAAGAAGAAGAAGAAAGAAAGAGGAAAGACAAAGAGAGAAGATTGTAAGTCTTTGTTTCAAACTTTTTATATGGAAGATGACTTTTTATCTTTATATAAAATAAGTGGGGGTGACCAAACACACCACTAACAAGATTTTGTACACTAAAATGTCCAAATGTATAACAAACACTTTGAAAATCACGTTATTGCACACAGTACCTACAGCACTAATCATATTCCAAAGATGAGACCATTATCTCTCTTGGATTTTGAGAATTTGATTTTATAAGATCCGATATGGATGAAAACTATAGTACGGAAAAATGCAAATTTGATTTACCTTTATAAATGACTAAATTTTCAACACTATATAATATTAAGGCTGGACATGAATTGAAAAATCAGCAAAATTTGACTATATTGGGCAATTTTAGCTGATATCAAAATTTGACAGATCGATCTATACAGAGTGTTTTATAAGGTAGTGTCCGGCCTTAACTGATGGATAGACTTTGTTGTTGGTAGGTATCAATGGTGATAGTGATATGAAATTTAATTGAATATTGCTCAGATTGATTATTGTAAAATTGTACTTTATTTTGATAGTAAAAAATGTTTTACAGTTTAAAGGTTGATGATGTCAAACAATATCTATTAAACAATGTCATATATATTATTATTTAGACAAGAGAAAGAAGAGGAGAAAGAAAGGAAAAAGAAACTGAAATATGAACAGAAGAAAAAGGAAAAGAAAGAAAAAGTGCATTGTAAGAATAGATATGTTAAAAATACCTGCATATGCTATAGAAGTATGCTGTAGAACAAATCCATTGCCACTGAATCATTTATTAATTCATTGAAAAACTTTTTGTAAGCCTCCTGTAACCCCCCCCCCCCCCCCCCACCCCCATTATTTCTGAAAAGTTAAAATAAAAAAAATATATATATAAATGAGTTAATTATGGCCATATATATTTATAGTTGAACAAACCGAAACAACATTGATACAGATGGACCTTGAAATTAAGAAATCATTACAGATTGATAGAACGGTAAGTCATGAAACTTTGATTATAAACTATAAATTAACAAGGAAATATTTTCTGCTAGAAGAAAATATGTGCAGCAGTTAATCGGGAGCCACAGTGGCTCATTGAGTAAGATTTGGGCTCACTAACCTGAAGGTACCCATTTGATCCTGGTGTGGCATGGATGGAAAAATCCTTGGCAGTTGAAATTCAACAAAGAGTAGTTTAAAACACTGCTGTCTGTCTTTATTAGCCTGGTTGGTTCAGAAAATTTTTCATTTGGACGTATTATGCCATCACCCCTGTCCGTCCACAATTTGTTTCTGGACACTCTACAGGTCATAATTCTTATCTGAATTTGAGGAAACTTGAAATGTAAGTTTATCTTCAAAAGATCTAGGTTCCATTCGATGTTGGCATGTATCGGATCGAAACTTCATGGATTATGGCCCCTGATTATATGAAAAATCTTGTTTTTAGCTTGTGGACACTCTAGAGGTCACAATTTTTGGCAGATTGAGATGAAATTTGAATTGTATGTTCATAACCCAATGATCTCGATACCTTTCGATACTTCTGCATTACGGGCCACAACTTCCTGGATTATGGCCCCTCGTACGATAAATCTTGTTTTTAGCTTGTGGTCCCCCTAGAGGTCACAATTTTTATTTGATTTACAAAGCCGTGCAAATATGTCACTGTTACACCATAATGATGATTGATTCCGAATTTCTTGAAAATCTGACCAAAACTGCCCAACAAAATGGCCGCTCCTCATAGTGTAAAAGTATGGTATATCAATGTGGACCCTCTATAGGTCACAATGTTGTTCCGGCTTTGATAAAACTTAAAATGTTTGTTTATATCACAAAGATCTTGGTTCCTTTCGATATCAGACCGTAACTTCCTGGATTATGTCCCCAGATTGTATGAAAAATCATGTTTTAGCGTGTGGACCCTGTAGAGGTTACAATTTTTAGCCGATTTTAAAAAACGTTTAATATATGTCACCGTCACACCCTAAAGACAGTTGGGTTCGAATTTTGTGAAAATCGAACCAAAGCTGCCTGACAAAAGGAACTTTTGAAACGTGTGAAATAAACCCAGTGATTGTTTTATTAATAAATTTGTTTTTTAAATCTCCATTATGTGTAAGTAATCTTAATTAAATCGTATTTCATAATTAATGTATTGAAAAATTGCCCGTAATACTGAGTTGGTTGTTGAGCATATTTTCACTGTAGTGTAACGGTATGTAATACCAAGGTTGTTGACCCTCTAGAAGTCATAATGTTTACCAGATTTTGATGAAACTTGAAATGTATGTATATGTCCCAAAGATCTTGGTTCCTATTTGCGCATATCAGACTGTAATTTCCTGGATTAAGGCCCTTGATTGTACGAAAAATTGTTTTTTTGGCTTGTGGACCCTTTAGAGGTCACAATTATTATCCGATTTTAAAAAAACATTTAAATGTATCACTGTTACACCCTAATGCTGGTTGAGTTCAAACTTAAAATATGTTGATATCCCGAAGATCTTGATTCCTGTAGATATAATCATGCATATCAGACCCTCACTTCCTGGATTATGGCCCTTGATTGTACAAAAAATCACTTCTTTTTTTTTTTAGCTTGTTCTCTGTCCATCTCTTGCAAAATGTGGGCATATCTTGCATGGCAACCGCTTGTTTGATATGTATATGTATTTTATCACAGGATGTAGATAAATGTGTAGCTATCATGGAGGATTTAGAAACTTTACCAGTCAATCAAATAATGCTGAAGAAAAATCCTGACATTATGAATACTATGAAAAAGGTTAGTTCTGCACCCTTGATATGGATTGTAAAGAAATAAGAAGCCCCTTCATGGCTTAAATGCGTAATGCATGTTATAGTTATGGTAAAAAGATGGGGTTTAAAAACTGTAGTCATACTATGGAAGATGTCTAGGTATTTGCAATGCAAAGAATCATCATCTACCCCTCTTTGATGGTGAAATTCTGCTTTAAATATTTGTGCCAAGTATCTCAAAAAAAGCCCAAGGCCCCACCAATTCAAGTACTATTGACATGAAAGTTGGCATGCTTGTATCTTTGACAATTGCATATCTATTGATGGCCATCTTCATTAGTCGAGTCGTAGCAGAGCAGTGGTACGTTAAACTTCATTTCTAATTTCATCTCTTGATGGACTTGATCAGCTTTTTGATATGTCACAACTCCAGGATGGTGGTGGTGACGTCATGCATGGTTCTTGGTCAATATAGTAACAATCGTATTAGTTTCATTAAATAAAGAAGTATTGTATATATTGATTTATGTATTTATTATGCTTACAGTGTCGTAAATATAAAGGAAGTGATAGAATAAAAGATAAAGCTGAAGTTATTTATAATAAATTTAAAGCATTATTTTTAATGGGAGATGTAGAGATGCCACAGGTATTATACATTATATAATTTACAACTTACTTTATTATAAAAAATCTGAGAATAATTGTCTGTTGTCAGTGATTGTGATTAGTGTATATGCCACTGGATGAATTGTGAACACTGTTTGATACACTGTTGTCAGCATATGCTGTAATAAAATACTCGAAATAGAGACTTTGACCATTGGCAAACATGATAAAAAGTGAAACTTACAAGTTTTATTTTGCATTGCCAATAAAGAATCTGTATGCCATTTACATGTATGTTCGATCCCTGCATTGGCCGAGAAAGTTCATCCAGATTTTCCGGCGTGGTTCTCCCTTGTCAGTGATGCAGGACGGAGGGGCTGACAAGGAAAGGTGTCTAGTCGTTCGGATGGGACGAAAAACCGAGGTCCCGTGTACACATTGGCGTGCACGTAAAAGATCCCCTGGCAGTTGGAATTCGATATAAGAGTAGGCCGTAGTGCCGCTGTCCGGGCAAAATTTCCCTCATAGCACACTGTATGGCGTATGCCCGTCTTCATTAGCCCAGGTTAGGAGCAGAACAGTAGGACGTTAAACTCCATTTCATTTCATTTTCATTTACATGTAAAGTCCTGAGCATTGATAACCATTAACAGTTTATTGAATGTGAGTAATTGTCAAGTACAGACGGTATGGTTACTATTCTTACTGAACCATGTAGGTCAGTGGTTGAGTAGCAGACCTGAACAACTGGTTCATTTATAACTAGTAACACATATACCAATAATCAACCTTCGGCAAATCACAGGAATTTCCGTACCAGTTGCTAGAATGGGCTATATTGGAATATATTATTTATGTATATTACCAGGTTTCTGATTACAAGAAAAAAGAAAAGGGTGAGAAGGAAATGAAAGAGAGAGAAAATAAAGAAAATGAATTAATTAAAAATATTACAGAAGGTAACGTGCTGGTAATAATGTTCTAAAAATTCTGACTCATAGACATATCAGTTTGGGAAGGGGAAAATATCCACTCATTAAGATGCTTGTAAGAGCTACTTTTATAAATATCTGTTAATAAATGTGGGAGAACTGCACAACACATAAGAGGAAACACAGAAAAAAATGCTGCATACAACACACATCACACAAATAAGTGTCTGACATTGTAAGTACATGTAATAGTAAAAGTACTGGCAAATCAATTTAATAAACATGTTATTCTAGTGTAAACCATTATCAATGTGTATTTACAAGATATATCAATGTTAATATAATGATGAAAATAATATAGAAGTAAAACTCAAGCCCATTTATGCAATAGATAATGCTGTTTAATTACTGGAATTTAGTTTGCTGGTAATTTGCAAGCATTTTATAAAAGGCTATTTCCCACCCACACAGGTGACATTTCTCATGTAGAAAAGCATAAAAGTATTTATATAGTAAAATCTGTAAGTTGGCTTAATTAAATGAAGACAATAAAAATTACATTATTTAATAAAACCTTATATTTGTATGTTTGTTGTTTTCAGAAAGTCAGTCTCCTATAGAAAAGGATAATAGTGTTGTTGATACAACTATAACTAATGGTAGTGATATCAACCTAGATTCAACTAATACACCAAAACTTGTAGATACTGTGATAGGTGGTTCAGATATCACTAAAACTCCTAATGTGATTCCAGGTTTAGATATTATACAGCCTGATATAAATACAATAGAACAATCAGTGGACAAAACAATTACCGAAAATAAACAAAATACAGAATTATCCACAGAAAGTATGAGTGAACCTTCAGTAGATAAAAATGTGGAACAATCGGTTAAGGGTACAGTTGTTGACACAGGTAATGAAAGTGTTGAACAACAGTCTGTTGATAGTGTTGACGCTGCCATTGTGACTCCTGTAGAAAATAGTGTGGACTCGACTTTAATTGATGTTCAAAAGAATAATTTATCCGATATAGAAAAAGTTATTGCAAATCCTTCTCAAGAGTTACGTTCTGTTATTTCTGAGGAAGCGATCAGTGTATCGGAGACTAAGAAACAACCATTTACTTCAGATGTTGTGCCAAATGCTAGTCCAGTTGTTCCTAATCAGGATGCCTCTATGTCCGATACGACGATAGGTACAAACGATCAGGTAGAACCAATGGAGGAAGGGGAATACGGTTCACAATCAAATACTGTGTCATCTTCAGATGCCGTGCCAAGCATCGTACCAAAAACAACTGTTCCTCACATAATTCCATTTTTTGAACGTCAAACGGTAGCGTCTGATAATGATTCTAATCCCCAGCCATTTGTTTCTCCTGATAGTCGTTCACAGTTACCGCTTCCAGATGTATCAACTGAAGAAGAATCCAATATGGATGAAACAGATGATTATATTGAACCTAATGTAAGTTTTTATACATCCAAATTTTCATGTGGACATATATTGTCGTCGGCCCCGGATGTACATCCATTCCCAATTTTTATTTGTGTCCACTCTACAGGTCACAATTTTTATCAGTTTTTGACAAAACTTGAAATATAGGTTTATATCCCAAAAATCTGGTTTCCTTTCGATACTTGTGCAAACCAGAGTGTAACTTCTGGTTTATGGCCCCTGATTATATGAAGGTAGCAGGAAGGTAATATTATCAGTTGATTTTAAACTGAACCAATAAAATCAATAATGTGGTAGAATGTACAGTCTAATTTCCTGTAGTTTCTATACTAATATTTGTGACTGTCATTTGTCTGTTCAGGGCTGGCGGCTGCACTAGGGCTTTCCCGAGCAGAGATCGCAGTGCATCAATTTCAAGATGCGTAAAAATATGCGATTTTGCCCTCTACATCTGTGTGACCTAGAGCCTCTCAAAATACTCAATAAAAGCAAGTAAAATCGTTATGTGAACAACCCTATTTTAAGCGTCCTTATTTTATTGATACTGTATTTAGTCTAATGACGATTGGAGGTTGACAGCATATCTATGGTTGACGGCACAGTTATTTCAATGTTTCACTTCGACAGAAAGTAAAGAGCCAACTATTGCTATGAAAGCCAATATTTGATTGGCTGAATGTAAACACTTATAGTGTTCTAGCCAATCCAATGTTTTGTATGATAGGGGGTTTCTCAGAATAGCCCATGAACTTAAAGATTATGAATGAAATAAGAGGAAATATAAAAACCTACGGAGATTATGTACAGTAGCGGTGTGTAAATTTTGTGTGAAGCACATCAATATTGATAACGTAGTGTATAACCTGAGACATAGAGTAATCTAGTTATTCTCACGGCGGGCAAATTTTCTGTGTGTAAATTATGCAGCGTCCATCAATATTTGCATTTATTTTGAACAAAATATATGAAAAACGTGGATATTTGCGACTGCGACCTCTGGTCCTGAGGCTGAAATTTAGTGTATAGGGTTAGCTTGGACCAGGGAGAAACATAGGCTAAGTGGTGTTGGCCTACCGCTTCCGGAGTTACGGGCACAGCGTGACCTGCTAGTATCCTTATATTTATATCTACTGATCTTTGGGCGCCCTGATTCTTCTTGCCCTACATGCTTGAATTTGACATTTTTATGTAAAACTTTTACATCAATCATTACTTGCAGGAACGTCGAGATTTGAATGCAAGAATAGCTGAGATCATGCAAGGATCGACAAAATCTACAACAAAAGACAGTCCTTATTCCAAAGATATATCTCCTGTAAAAGGAGGAGGTGGTGTTGGTGGTGAAGGACCCAGTGATAGTGAGGAAGTTATGGATGATGATGAGTTACATAGTTTACTGGGTGTATAGATACATGTGTTATAAATGAGTGTATAATAGTAATCATAGTTATCATTTTACATAAGTTGATAAACTTAATATATATATATAACAGTGTGTAAGAAATGCGAAATTTTAAATTTCATAAAGATGAAGATTGATGGATGATTTATTGTTATAAAAATTACAGCATAAACTGGATGTATGTTAATAAATTGATCCGTACTTACTAACACTGATGTGATGAATATATTGTAAATTTGTTATAAAGTACATTTATGATACTAAGACTACTAAGAGTACACTATGTTCATTGATTGGAAACTACCAGGCACGATATTACTACGGTTTCTATCGTGCAGCCTGGTGGTACACCACTAAGGCGCCCAATAAAATAATAGTGTAAATTTCCACTGAGTTCAGTCAGTGATAATAAGTTAACATCAATGTCAACTGTAGGGGGAAGCCATTGTGGCTCAGTAAGAATTGCACTGGCTTACCTGCTAAGAGATCTTGGTAATGGCTGAGAGAGTTCCTCAGGATTTTTCAGCTTGGTAGAACGGAAAGCTTGTCAATGAATAGCGGCCTAGTCGTTTGGATGCGACAAAAAAACCCAAACAAACAAGGTCCCGTGTACATGTGGGCGTGCACGTAAAAGAACCTGGGTTAATGAAAAAATTAGTCAGATCGGGTCTAAGAATAATTTCTTCAGTAGTGTCATCGCCCCATTCACACAGCATTTGTAATTTTAAACATAGCGGTTATTTGTATGTCAGTCCAAAAAACTTAAAACAGCATGAGTGCTCTTTTTACAACAAAAATTACAGTATTATGAATCTAGCAAAAGTCAATTGATGCTTGAAAGAAAATAATTCAAAATTTCCATGGCCATCTTGAATTTTTTTGTACCTCAAAATTGGGACAAAAATTCGCAGAAACTATTCAGATAATTTTAATGAAATTTTGTATGGAAATAATTGTAATGTAATTGTGTTAAAAATAAATTTGGAAAAAATTACATAAAAATCGGAAACAAACTGTAGTTGATTGATTTTTTATACAGATGCAACAATATTTGAAGATATTTCTGTAATAAACCAACTCAGTGGTCTACAAAAGGCTAAGAGATTGGTCAAATACTTTCTAAAAAACCTTTGTTTGAGGTACATGTGTAAAAGAGTCACTCACTCATGTTCAAAACATCGGGGGGTTAAGAAATGATTATTGTTGCATACATGTAGATAGATAAAAATATATTTGAATTAATGTAAGCAAGATGATTAGATTTCAATATGATGTTTAATAATTTCTATGTATGCTATCTTTCAACAAAAATCCATGAATGAGTACATGTAATTACCTGAATAATCATTGATATATTCTAGTATTATCAACATTAACCTTTGTAGGAATGATAATGATACTAGTAGTTCCTGTCAGTTCTAAATTTACATAGATTTCAAGCTTTTATAAGCCTCAATGATCCAATGTTGCTACAACAAATCATGTAATTTCCATCTGAGTTTAGAATGGGTTGAATACATTTTGGATTTATAAGATGGTGATATGAATATGGATATTTGAACTTGATGTAAACTGCATTAAAACTAAAAACAAAGCAATTATCTGTATTGTCTCCAGGTAATTTTAAGGGATTGGCATAATAGGGGGTGGGGAGGAGGGTGTCAGTTAATTAGTTATTGGAAACAGAACAAACTAGTTCTACTTAGTATTGAATACTGGAGCTATCGTGGATTCAAGCTATAATAGCCTACTTTCAATTTACCAGAGTAAAAACAATTTCCAAAACAATACAATGATGAAAATTAATTGTAAGATAACTTCGAAAATCTTTTAAAGGTAGTTTACTTTATATGTGTATGCTTTGTCGTACACTATGTTATAAAGTTATTGCATTTGTCTTTAGTGTAGTAAAATGTATTGTGAAATAAATGACAGTCCCCAGAATGAAATTTTTCAAATTTTAACAGATCACCTCTCATTGTGTTGTAAATTTCATGTAGGCAAAAGTTTCATGTACATATATACACATTTTGAATTTTATATATTAACATGTACTGCTGAACAAACCTACAAAAGATTATGAAATAATATTTTTGATTGAAATATGTTAAGAACATGGAACCATTCATCATAACACTGTGTAAATTATTGCATGGGTCAACTAAAATCCTAATATAAAATTAAAACCCTGTTCTTTTATTATTAAACAAGTTACTTGTATAAATGTTTTCCAGGAGAATATTAGGCAAAAAAAAACACACCATGGGTTCCAGCTTGACCATATATGCCAGTCGTGACTGCTTGAGTTAAAGTGTGGGTTATCAAAAATGTCCCTCTTTCCAATATTTCAGCATATATTTGTCGTCCCATTTCCATAGAACTTTGGTATACGTCAAAAAGAGAACACCTACAAAGAAGGCAATTCAATTTGTGCTGCAAACAAATCATAAATCTTCTAAACTAAAATATCTCACATACTGGGTAACAATATTTATATGTCCATACATTACAGTCACCCCTGTTCACGGAGAAGCCTTTTGATTTCAAGACATCCTATAATTACTTTCAGGGTTATTGCCCTTGGTTACTGAACAATCTTCTGACTATTAAGTTACCATTTGATTGGCTTCATATTCAAATCCATAATTTATTTTTATGGTTAAAGTTATCAACCATTATGTTGAATTTATGTGTTGTGTACTTTGTTGGTGGTTACTTTTAGTAAGAATCATAATGCAGCTACATTTATGGTTTGGTGTACTTTTTGTTTCATGTTCAGACTAGTTCAGTGTCCATTTCACAAAGCATATGTAAGACATCTGTACACATCAAACATTTAACCATAGAACTATTGATTTCATTGTAAATAACTTGACAGATTCTTCCTGCAATAGACCCATGGTTAGCTTTAAGGATTGTCTCAATGATTCAAGTAAAATATATTTTATATTTCTGTGAAAATTTATGCACCAATAAAGGTCAATAGATTAAGGTCCCCTTTTGACTGAATTTCATGCTTTGCATCCATCCTTTGGCTTGCCTATAAATAATTAGTATCTAAAGATAAGAACGACCAGTGCTTTTGATCAAGTTATTTGTATTCTAAAGACTTGTGAATTGTTAATAATTTTTTAATCATGACATAAAATGGTTGTCTGTGTTTCAGCTTTGTGGAACATTGTATATTTCAAGCATCTAGATGAAATAAAATAAATTATAACAAAAATTTGAGGTGTTAAATTTATAGGAACGAGATGTTGGGTGCGTGGAGGTGTCATCTGAATCTAGATTTGGGAGCCATTTGGTTCCCTTAGACTTTCGTATTAGAATCCGGGCACACAAATATAAGGATCCACCAGGCGGTGTTAATCCTTCTCATTCAAATTGGCGATAAGTCATTGAACAACAGAGAAAAAGATGCATATAAATTTATGTATGAAGGTTCCCCATAATGATGTTGACTTTGCCAATAAAGCTGCTGAATTTTACCTTAATAACTAAACAAGTTTGTGAAGTTTTTTTATACGCCCACATTTTCATGTGGACGTATTATGCAGTTGCCCCTGTTTGTCCGTCCTTTCACAATTTGTTGGTGGACACTCTACAGGTCACAATTTTTATCCGATTTTGACGAAACTTGAAATATAGATCCCTCTCCAAAAGATCTCGGTTGCTTTAGATATTGGCATGTATAGGGCCACAACTTGGATTATGGCCCCTGATTGTACGAAAAATCACGTTTTTAGTCTGAACAGTCTCGAGGTCACAATTTTGATCCGATTTTGATGAAACTTAAAATGCACGGTTATAACCCAAATATCTTGTTTCCATTCGATAGTTGAGCATATCGGATCGTAACTTCCTGAATTATGGCCCCTGATTGTACGAAAAATCGCGTTTTTAGCTTGTGGTCTTTCTAGCGGTCACAATTTTTAAAAAAACATTTTAGTATATCACTGTTGCACCCTAATGATGGTTGAGTTCGAATTTCGTGAAAATCGGACCAAAATTGCCTGACAAAATGGCCGCCCCTTGTATGAAAATAGTGTAAACTAAATAATTTAGATTACATTTCAGGCCTAAAGAAAGACCTGCAATAGACAGATTTAGCTCTTGCATAATGTATGTTTTATTATGGCCTCTTACATTAATGAAACTTGTGCTTTCTGGGATTAGTTTTCTGTCAATTTTCTACTGCATGTTGGACCTTTGTGGACTTGAAATCAATGGAAAATCTGTTTTCTGGAAGTGTCTTAGGTTAAAAATTTGATTGAAATCTAGTTTACATACCAACTAAAGAAATGTATTTGCATTATCAGCTTCTTATAGTCGAATGTATTGTAAAATGTACTGCACTCTCAAAATGCTTGTTAACCATGTGATTGCATGCAATATTAGGTAATGTACCACTAAGGGACCCTATAAAGTACATGTACTGTCAATATGTCAGGAGGGCTTCAATTTTCTTGTGAAAACTTTAGGATTCTTATACTTCCCTTGTCAGTCTTGCAGCCTCCCCCCCCCCACCACCACCATTACCACTAAGTTGGTTTCATTTATACCCAGCTTTAAAGAAGGGTTGCCAGGCAATGAAACATACGCCCACAGCGGCTAAGTCGCTCAACAGTCAACAAGAGTTGTCACATATTTTTTCTATTGTCTGTTGTAATGAAGCATTTATAATATACTAAAATCTGATTAAGAGTCACAACTTATTAAGTTATTATCAGATAACCATTAGAATTTGTTTGGCTTTTAGTTCTGACCCATGCTAAGGTATACGAAGCATTTAATATCATGGCCTTAGCTGTTCAAATTACCAATTCTGGGTATCAATCTAAAGTCAACTTGATAACTTTGGTCTCTAGAGCTTGCACAAGATTTTTCAAAGTGATCATGGCCATAACTCTGGCAGTAGTTATCGGAAATCGTTGAAAATCAATACACTTCATTGTCTCATGCACTCTAGCAGTAATTATCAGAAATCATTGAAAATCAATAGGCTTCTGTGTATCAATTTAAAGTCAATCGGATATTAACCTTAGCCTCTAGAGCGTCCACCAGATATTTCAAAGTGATCAAGGGCAATAACTCTGGCAGTAATTATCGGAAATTGTTGAAAATCATTAGGCTTCTTTGTCTCATGACCTTAAACACTGTGTTTCAATTTAAAGTGAATTGGATATTAACAGGAGCGACGGCTATATACGACCACATTTCAATGCACATAGGCGTATAAAAATTAAGAGAAGTTTCTATGCTGATGTGGTTGTGGTTCAATTATATTAACTGTAGATTAGATCTAGCACCATCCTATAACAATTATGTTCTCAAAATTAGTCAGTAATTAAAGAAATTGTTCAGATTTTTTATTCTTTTTAAAAAAACCCATAAAATAGCAATCTTTCACCTAAATTTATACAACTATGATAATTTTATTATTTTTTACATAATGTATGTAAATGTTACATATGACAGATCAAAAATATCAAGATAAAATAAGAGAATTCAAACACAACTATTCTCATTCATTCATTTCAATATGACTTACTGAAACATGTTATTTAACATGCTATGAATATTTCATTAAGATTTTGATTAGACGAAGAAAATAATGAAAGATTCATTAACAACAACAAATAAACAGTAATAGTACTTCATGCCTGTTTGTTAGACCACACAAGTGACAGACTATTACACTCACTAAAAAAAAAAATCAATATGCATTGAAAATATTTGATTTTGATCTGATGAAGAGAACTATCAGGCTATTTTAAATCCTATATGGATAATATCTTGATCTAGAACGAGTGACTAAAATATGCAGACGGCTAAGTACTACAAATACAAATGCCCACTACTGACAAGATTAATTTAATTTCTGTTTACAGTGTGCTTAATCAAATACTCAAAGATTATTATAATTACATGTGTATCCATAACATGTCCGGGTGACAGGCTACTTGAAGATTAGATGTATTTTGTACACATGAATAAATCAAGAAGATATTTGTCATGATACTAAAAGCACAAATACATTATATACACCATATGATTTGTTGATCAAAGACTACAAGTACCAACAATCTCACCCATTACACTTTGTTTAGGTAAGAGCAGAGTGTACAGCAATGGTCATAGAAAACTGACAATAGAATAGTTGCTACAGAAATACAAATAAATTGATAAATTATATAATGGACATGTTATAAAAGTAAATAGTAAATTAAAGATAGAGATTGAAATTCTACAGGTTACTGATAATCAATAATTTTTTTTAATTAATCTGATTTTAAGAAAATTGCCTTTGGACATAGTGAATGTAATAATGTATATTATGACGTTATTTAGGAATGGACTGGTACCGTAGATTTCTTATCACTGAAGAAACTACGCAAGACCATTACTTGTCCAACTCCAAGGATAAGTATAAGACATGAGGCAGCTAATGACCAGTACATAACACCCTTGTTCAATGACTCAGCAAACACACGCCCGGCACTCTCCCTGTTACGGAAATACATTTGTTGTTTAAATATAAAGGAGAGACCATTGTGGATATTTTCTGAGCCAGACTCCATCTACAAGAAATTCAAAATAAAAATAAACATTATATAAAAAAATTGTGTAGGCTAAATAAAATAATTTACACAACAAAGTCACATTTAACTATTTGTGTACGTACATGTATTTGAAAACTGAACCAGACTGACATTGTAATGATAGTAAACACTATAAACTGCAGTGCATATTGTGCCATTTTCTAATGACAAGACAAATCTTGAAACCAATGCTGTGCTACCACTTAACAAGAGACTTTGGTTCGAAAAGTGTAATTCCTGATTATCAATATTGTTGATGCTGTATTCATTTTGCCTTGACAAAACCTGGTACATCAAAATTTCCGAATTTCTACCAGCTTTTCTGGAGGTCAGGAGATTACCTGTACTTTATTATTCAACAAATGAACAGGTTTAATCCCTAGTAGTTTACTGAACTTTTTTTTATTCATTGACAAAATATCCTTGGTTAATTTCTGCCAACAGTGAGGTGCAGGACATCAAATTTAGTCATTTTGATTTATTCACATTACTTGTAAACTTAAGTGCCTCATTTCGCATGCATTCAGCAGACGTCGTTATTTTAAAAGCAAAAGTTTGAGATACATGAATATGTAGCCTATATATTGAGCCATACACTACAAACACATTAGTTTTTTGTATATAGAAATCATTACCAAGTCGTTAATTATATATACATTTACATTTAGTAAATAATAAACATAACTTATATACAACAAAATATTTTTCACCAATATTCTACAACAAAACTCAGTTCATTCCTTATACAGTTGTTCATATAACATTAACAGTTGATCAATGCTATGATGAATATAAGAATTCTATGATTGATATGATGCAGTTGTTTAGAGAGGAAGAATGCATCACATTCACGATACTTGATACCATGCACATACAACATGTATACTATTACATGTACACAATTAATTTTAAAACAAACAGTGGAAATCTTTTGTATTTAAGCATGTCTTCTATATTAATCATGGTATTATAGAAATGAACTGAATTTTACAAAATTGATATATAAACTGAAAATATAGACATTACACTAATAAATACTAAGATCACGTAGCACTAGGGGTTTTATGTTTATCTGTAAAGAAACTTCTCAAAACAAGAATCTGTCCTATACATATAATAACTATTATAATGGATTCTCCAATTGACCAAATCATAACGCGCTCATTTAGATCCTCTGCAAATCCACGACCTTGCGACTCTCGAAGTCGGAAGTGTGTTTGATAGTCTAAAACTGTTTTCAAATCTTCGTGTGTATTCTGTGCAGAGGTTTCCATCTAAAAATATAAAAAAATAAAAATGTCCTTTTTCTCAGAAAATGACCACACAAAGATTTTGAATTGTGGAAATAAGACAACTTTTAAATGGTATAACAAAAGACTAGACCATATTACCCCTAAGATTCGGACATTACATCCACAGATGTGGAATATAAGTGTCTGAAATGTTAAAGACTTTTATGTACAGAATGTAGCTATAGGACGTGCTAATGACAACCCATAGAATTGGAAGTGGAAACATTCATAAGTGATGAAGGAAACAAAACAAAAATGCTTCATGCAACCTGATGGGATAAAATAGGATGAGAACAATTACAAAGATACATGTACATACAGTATATTACTCAAACTTTGAAAAGGAAAGAGCCATCTATTTGGATGGGTGTATGTATGCACATAGAATGAGAAATTGAAGACAAATTTTGTATTGTAAGCAAACCAAAATAATTTCAATGTACTTGGGTGAATAAAATTTGATCTTCTTTTCTTGTGTCAAAATAGTATACATGTCAGTATTTGCTTTATAAACTATGTCCCATGAACCAGCTTTTATTAAATTTGAGGAGATATCCAGGAGTTGCAGACTCTTTATATTTTATCCCATAATTAGCATTAAAGTTGTTTCAACTGATCTGAACTTAATTTACAAGTTAACAAGCCAACAGTAACATTTTAAGGGTACCTATCATCTACTGTAAAGAAAACCAGCGGCTCTTAGGCAAGATACGCTCACATTTTGCAAGAGATGGATAGAGAAAAGTTAAAAAAAAAAACCCCACGATTTTTCGTACAATCAAGGGCCATAATTCAGGAAGTTACGATGTGATATGCGCGAAGATATAGAAAGGAACTAAGAAATTTGGGTTATAAACATGTATTTCAAATTTCATCAAATTCAGATCAAAATTGTGGCCTCTAGAGGGTCCACAACCTTGATATACCATATATTTACACTATTTGTGTACGAGCAGGGCGACAGTTTTGGTCCGATTTTCACGAAATTTGACCTCAACCATCATTGGGGTGTAATGGTGATATATTCAAACGTTTTTTTAAATCGGCCGTAATTCAGGAAGTTACGATCCGATATGTGCGAATATCAAAGGAACCAAGATCGTTTGTTAATAAACATGTAATTCAAGTTTCATCAAAATCGGATTAAAATTGTGTCTGGCAGTTTTGGTCCGATTTTCACGAAATTCGAACTCAACTGTTATTACAGTGTAGCGGTGATACATGTATATTCAAACGTTCTTAAACAAGATAATAATTGTTACCTCTAGAGGGACCACAAGCTAAAAACGTGATTTTTTGTACAATCAGGGGCCATAATTCAGGAAGTTAAGATCCGATATGCGCAAATATTGAAAGAAACCAAGGTCTTTGGGTTATAAACAAGCATTTTAAGTTTCATCAAAATCAGATGAAAATTGTGACCTCTAGAGTGTCCACAAGCTAAACACGTGATTTTTCATACAATAATCCATGAAATTTCGATCCGATACATGCCAATATCAAAAGGAACCGAGATCTTTTGGAGATCAACCTACATTTCAAGCTTCGTCAAAATCGGATAAGAATTGTGACCTGTACAGTGTCCATAAACAATTGTGGATGAACGTCCTGGGGCGACGACAATATACGTCCACATGAAAATGTGGAAGTATAAAAACAGTAAAAATTGAATACTGATAATGCGATCTCACAATATAATTTATTTTTCGTCTTTTGCTAATTACATTACCTAGATAATATGATTTATGATCATCTGATCTGATCTATTTAGAACAAGTTAATTTCAACAATAAACACTGATCCACCACCAATTGTGTAAAGTAAAATTTATAAAATAAAGCCACCACCAAGCTATCTTATTTCCACAATAAGCAAACACTTCTATAGTAATTTCCCCTCATTTTCTTACGCGTGGACAGCAATTTCAATCCTGTTTTCATTCCAGTATAGAGAACAAAAATCACACATACATGTACATGTCAAGGACGAGAAATAGTATTAAAAACTTTACATACCAATGTCATTGCTGTATCATGTGAAGTCATGCCTTCAACTAAAGGTTTTTCATCACCAACTTCTAGATCAAAATAAACTACTTTATGAGAGAAAGTAGAGAATTCATTACTAAAACAGAACTTAAAGATACCAGTTAAATCGGCTGTCCATGTAAAACTATCATATTGTTTTTTAACATCTTTATACAGAATCTGACCACTGGGTGCTGTTAATTCCATATCTACATCATAATGACCCCCAGTTATAACCTGAAAATACAGCAAGGGACAATACTGAACTACAGTGTTTTAATCCTAATACCTACATGTAAAATGAAACTTCATCAACTCAGTATCAAAAAATCCATTGATACAATTTTTAGTGGAGTTTTCCATTAACTCATAAAGTAAATGAAGTTAAGATCACTAAATAATTATATCTATTGATTTTATCAAAACAGATGTATGGTTCAATGATAATATCTAGTAACCTATTGTATGTTTTATTAGTACATTGTATGTTCAGTTCAAAAATATAAATAGACAGCATTAACAAGCACACAGTTGTTATTGATCCTGACAATATTATTAAGCACTTGCCACATATATGAACATTAATTTAAAATAAAAGTTTTTTTCATCAACTGATTAATGAATGTACCAACAACTGTACAGTGTTTGCATGTCAGTTTTTACATTTAAATGGCAACGACTTAATGTGGGATAAAATTAAATCGATAATCCTGATGTTATTGTAGAATGTGCAAAGAAATCTTATGGTTCTTAGGCTTTCACAATCATAAAAACATCCACAGTGACGATTAGAGAGAAAAATGGGGTTTAATGTCCACAAAACTTGGTCACTTTGGGACTAAAACATGGTTCAATTTTATTTCAACAATTCGCTTGCGCGTAGGGGTCTTTATCAGTGGGAGAAACCGGAGGACCAGGAGAAAACCCACGAGCTTTGACAGGTTACCCTACTCCTTGTCACATACAACCGGGGAATCGAAACCACGCCAGTTGACTCAATGACAGACCTTATGATTTAACACGCACATGCTAACCATTTGGCCATCAACCCCCTCAGGCAGTGATAGGTTAATCAATCCTGTTTACTTAAAACAAGGAAGTATTACTAAATATACACAAATTTTCAACAATGTTTTATTGTAAAGGTCAGTAGTAGCCTATTAAACAAAACAGAAGACAGCGAGATTCGAGAGGGTGTTACACAGTTTTATCTGGCAAACCCTGATGTGAAACACATCGGGCTTCATTAAGCGCAATTGACATTTTTCATCAAATTAACGATTGATTATTGTTATTTATAACATTTCTGCTACATCCAACTACAATTAAGCATACAATCCAACCTGAAATGGGTACAAATCACCAAGGTTTTATGATTGAAAAGAGTCGTGTACCATGGACTTCAATGGTGTTTTCAAGTTCGATGAAAATGACACTTGATTAATTTAAATACGAATATTTGGAATTAGGCAATAGTTGTGTCACTGCATTGGCCTCTGTAAGTTTAATTAGTCATAATAGTAAAAAATTATTTTATTTTTAAGATGTATGGTAATTAATAAAAAAATTGAGTTTGCCAGGTGAAACTAAAGGCATCCAATCGAAGCTAAAAACAAACACAGCAATATATCTCAACATTTTTAGCTACGTTCTCGTAGCTAAGAATTACTACCGTGTGAATAATGATGATGATTAGGCCAGCACAGATGACGTTTCGGACTCAGTTTGACGACTGTTCAGACTTACTTGACGACTTTTCGGACTCACGACGTTTCGGACTCAGATGAATAATTAAAAGACTGTTGAAAATTTGTGTGATATATGGTAATTAATAAAAAAATTGAGTTTGCCAGGTGAAACTAAAGGCATCCAATCGAAGCTAAAAACAAACACAGCAATATATCTCAACATTTTTAGCTACGTTCTCGTAGCTAAGAATTACTACCGTGTGAATAATGATGATGATTAGGCCAGCACAGATGACGTTTCGGACTCAGTTTGACGACTGTTCAGACTTACTTGACGACTTTTCGGACTCGGGCTGGCGACGTTTCGGACTCAGATGAATAATTAAAAGACTGTTGAAAATTTGTGTGATATATTTTAACAGCTGGTTTTTTTTTTCGTTTTATGTGAGTCCGATGATAGTTGTTTTGTTTTATTTAATTGATCGGCGATTCTTGAGACCGCTAATAAAAAGATAACACCAATTTTACACTGCCTGTTTTATTCTGTTTTGTTTCATCAGCGAGTATATATTGAACTTGACAATAAAATATTGTTGAAAATTTCTGTATATTGAGTAATACTGCTGCTAAGGTTTTTATAATTATGACAGCCTTAATGTCTTTTATGCGAGTCGGAATAATGGAATAAACACAGACGCCATTATCGCCGATTGACAACTCACATTTTTCCTCGTCCACTAAAGAACTGTAAGGTTCCTTTTTAGCATACTACAATAACATAAGGATTATCGGTTAATCAGCTCTAATTATCCCACTTTGATTGTTGCCATTTCTAATATTTTCCAAAAAGAGTTTTCTTTGTACGCACTAATTTATTGATTGGTACTGCTACATGTATCTATGGCAGGCTTGTCCAGGAATGCATATCAACGTGTATCTTACCGATTATTGTCAAAAAGTTCTAGGGGCTTCGGGCTTGTAAAAACAGTGCATGTCGAGTAAATATTTACATTTGTTTTTTTGTGTAGGTCTTTTTGAAATTAATTCTACAGCATATTATTCTTTTTTAAAAAAATAAATTACTTTTACAGTAAACGATGATGAATAACTCTTACTTAAGTTTAACTATGTTTTATCGTTTGGTAGAATCGTTTAGTAACCACGTGCTTCATGTTTATATTTTCTTTCGTGTTTTGAATTGGACCATTTCTAATAAATTCATCAGCTACCTTTTATATACATAAGATAAACATTCAACATTGAAAATTTTGCGGCTCCTTGAGAGATCTACGTGCTGTACTTGATTGCGAGCGGTAAATTTTACCTGCATGTTATTTTTTATAAATCACTTTTTTGGTTTATTTTTAGGCCCTACAGATTGATTTGACAATTGTGTTCAACCTTTCCTTTCAACTTATTCCCCCCCCGAGTCCGAAACGTCACCTACTACGGCTACACGTGTCCGAAATGTCACCTGCCCCAGTCCAAAATGTCGAGGACCGAAATGACATGTAATCTGATATATTACTATTAGTGATAATTCAATTGATATAATAAAACACAACCAGACCATTCACGAGAAGACTGGACCTACCGAGTCTCTACAGTTTTAAAATGTTGGTAATGCTTTTAGGCACCATGATTGTTACAGGAGCTAAATCGCTAACATTTGGGACCTAGAAATTGACAAAAGTGGGTCGCAACGCATATAATACTGTAATATATGAATGTATATAAACTGATTTACATTCAATCTTTTCCGTTTTTACTCCAATTTCAAATCAGTTATGTTCGGCGAAATAAGCCAGCATTCTCAAGCGAGTGCAAACTTCTAGCGTCTTGTTATTCCAGTCTACATACACCGTTTGATTTGGTGCAATGTGTCTAGCCTCGTCCCTCGAGTCTCTTGATACAACTGGGGCTGAAGCGCATTATGGTACACGATTCGTGTACCAATGGTAAAATGATTATTTTGTCTTAAATATTGGATATCAAAAGCCCATCTTTTTCCGGTAAGATCACAACATGAATGACAGAATGTTGATTTAATTTGACAAATAAATCGTGTTTTCAATGTTGAAGATTTTGGATGATATTGAGTTAGAGACTTAGCTACTTTAACAGCAAAATAAAATAAATACTGTGTCATACTTACTTGAAATTCAATGGTACTTTTAGTACCCTTTTCTATCGATTCGAAGAAGCACTGCTTTTCATTATCTGGCAACTCAAACGTGAGTTCCACTGCATTTATTATTGATAATGAGCTTGCTAAAAGGACTACAAAAATATATAAATGTCCCATAATTAATTAGTTTTAGATATCTACTAGTTAGACTAGGTTACAACGAAAGTTTTACTCTACACTATATGCAACATAAGTTGAAATTTGTCTGTTTTCGTAGAAGACATCAACTCCACAGCCGGTTTGTGTTGACAATATGGCGATGTTCTCAACGTGGCCGGAAGTTAAGCGCGAGAACAGGAAGCAAACGTAGAATTATATCTACGGAAGAACATGTTGGCAATAATATAATAACAATTATCACCTACGTTGTGATATCAATGAGTTTCCGGAAGCAAACCTGGAATAGCAGCTCGGGGCCGGAGGAACATATTATGGACAATACAAAATAAATCCCAGCAATGCAAGTTTCAAATTATCTTCTTTAAGCTTACAAAAATCGAAAGTAGATAAAAATTGCTTCTGAATTTGACTGAAAGTACTGAAAGGGGATTCCTGTATTATTGATGCAGAGCGCCTATGGTTGACTGAAAATCAGAAGCTGTTGTCGTCCAGAAGCAACTTTCAGAAGTGAAATGTTGAACTCAAGTTTTTTTTATGGATGAATATGGAATAATTAGGTGCAGAGGAAGACTTGGAAATTCAGAACTTCCCTATTCCTCCAAGTATCCTGTAATCTTAATTCTAAACATTGGATAACAACCTTGATTGTCAGAACAGCACATCAGAAAGCACTTCATGGTGGAGTCAAATCAACTCTTGCCGAGGTGCGGTCCAAGTGTTGGATAGTAAAGGGTCATCAGATTGTCAAGAAGATTATTCATGATTGCAAGTTCTGTAGACGTTTTCATTCAAAGCCATTTCCACCTCCGTCTCTGCTGACTTAACCAGAATTTAGAGTACAAGAAGCAAAAGCCTTTGTCTATATTGGATTGGATTGTATTGGACCAGTTCACCAAAGTGATCAAGGTAAACCGTGGATCTGCCTATTTACATGTTGCAAAACCTCACGCCAGAAGCATTCATGAGATGTTTTAGAATATTTACTTCCCGTAGATCAGTTCCTCTAATAATCGTCTCCGACAATACATCTATATTTAAACCAGCTTCAAGGGAGATCGTTGAGTTGATAGAAGATCCCACAATCATGAAGTTCATGCCAAATCAACAAATTCGATGGATTTATAATCTCGCCAAGGCACCATGGTGCGGAGGTTTTTATGAGCGAATGGTCAAGATATTTAAGGAATGTCTGAAGAAATCAATCTTTCAATCCACGGTTAAAACTACGGGATCATAGCTAAAAATGAAAATGTTGAGATACTACTGGGTCATTCCATATCAACTGGGCCAATGGTGATATATGTTATAGTATATGGCCCTAAACTAACAAGTCCGAAATTTTACTTCTCTAGATCGAAAACTCGCTGAGATATGTCCATTTGAAATTAAGGTACTGAAACGGATCATAAATTCAGTAATTTTTTTCAGGTTTTCGGGTGCTTTAAACCCACCAAAAGTTGTCTTAGATTACAAAGTCTGAGAGTTCTATTCATATTAGAAATGTGAGTTTAAAGCATCCGAAAACCTGAAAAACAATTACTGAATTTATTAACCGTTTCAGTTCAGCGAGTTTTCGACCTAGAGAGGTATAATTTTGGATTTGTTAGCTTATACTATAACATATATTTTATATAATTTTTTTGACGAGGGTCATGTTCCCAACTTTCTGAAATTTGGTCCACTTGACATGGATTGACCCTAGAGTACAACTTTGTTTTTAGCGACGATTGGGTTCCTTTAGTTTCACCATGCAATTTAATTTCTTTGTTAATGCATGTCAAATCTAAAAAGTAAGATATTTTTTTAGTAGTAGGGCTAATTTTGGTTAGTAAACATGCCCGACCCAATGTAATGACGCACCTTTCGCCTAACTGTAAAGTTAATCAAGCGATGTTTTTTATTGACTTGACCGGCCACCGAAATCCTTTAGTTAGGCTACTCATGCGCCGATCCGTACAAGTTCTCTCTTTGCGGTTTTCCCTTTGTCTAAGTCGCAATTTTGATTGGCAGTTCTAAACGCCAAATATTTAGCCCCGCCTTCATGACGTTAACGCCAGACCTTTTCTGTTTTAAAATGTCGGACATGGCAACAGCTGTTAACGCTTCGATTTAAAAAACATTATTTATAGCCGTGTCAGGTAGGATTATAAAAGGTATAAGCTAACTTGTAGTTGGGTATGTCAGAATTATAATAAATAACAATAATCAATCGTTGTTTTAAAGAAAAAATTGACAGTTTTGCTTAATGAATGTATGTGATTCACAACTGCATCTGTCAGAAAGATCTAAAGACACGAATGTATGAGAGATGAATTTTTTCGTGTAGGTAAAAACCCCTCAATTAAAACTCTTATTACGTTTATTTGTCTTCGCGAACTAGTTCTGATTAAAGGAACTAATTCACTAATATTTGGGACCTAGAAATTGACACAAATGGGTGCAACGCATACAATAATGTAATATGAATGTATATAAATTGATTTACTTTCAATCGTTTCTGTTTTTACTTTAATTTCTAACCAGTTAGGTTCGGCCAAATACGCCAGTATTCTCAATCGAATTTCAATCTCTAGCGTCTGGTTTTTCCAGTCTACGCCGATAGTATTTATTGGACATGCTCTCCAGATAAGAATATGGCGTCACCGTTTGACATGACCTGTGGAATATGCCTAGCCTCGTTTTACAAATAGCGCTGAAACGCATTATGGTGTACCAATTGTAAAATGTTTATTTTGTCTTAAACATTGGATATCAGAATGTTATCTTTTCCCGGTAAGATCACAACATCAATGTTGATTTAAAGCGACAAATAAATCGTGTTTTCAATGTCGAAGATTTTTGATGATATTGAGTTAGAGACTTAGCTACTTTAATATCAGAGATTATCCAATGTAATGGACTGTTTAGTCAAGATTATGAAGGTATGCCAGATCTTGGGGTGATGGAAATAGAGAATGAAAATTAACCATTGACTAAAAGCAAGTACGATAAAATATGGACCAGGAACCAGCTTGACGCCACCATCTTGAAATTTTTACGCCATATGAAAAATCAAAGTTCGTCGGTTAATGTGCAAGGAACAGGCATGCCAAGTTTCATGTCAATCGTATTGAATTGGCGGAGCCGTAAGCTTTTTTTCGAAGAGAGCCCCCCCCCCCCCGCCCTCAAAACAAGAATAACAATAACTTTTTATTTTCTTTCCTACATTCATCAGAATAACGTCGGACAAACAAAATTGTGAAGCGTTGTGTGCCGTTTTAGCCCCACTCCACTCTCTGTATGCATCTAAATAAGCAGAATTAATATTGTCTCAGATTTAAATTTTTATAAAATTCTCAGGTAATCCCCCAGACCTCACACCAAACTTGACGTTCTCTGTACCTTCGCCCCTTCCCTACTAAAATTCCTTGACACGCCCTGGTAGACTTGAGAACGGAATTTTTTCAGATTTACAGTTTTTAACGGATTTGGCGTGAAGTATTGGGGTCTTGAGAGTATGAGTCCTTTCTATGCAATTGAAGTGATAATGCCACCCACATGAAGTGTGGATGAGACGCCAGTGAGGTGTGTTTAAAGTGATAAATTTGATATACTGAAGTGTTCATTTCTACCACACTTCAATACCAACCATTCAAAGTTTCAATGAAATAAAGAAGGCAGAAGCAATATCGAATTTATGATGAAGCCATATCAAATATGCAAATTAGGCTTCCATAACATAACACTTTATGAACACTTCATTGCTACTTCTACTTTTATTTGGTCATGTTATTCACACTTTTGTTAAGGAATAATTAATTGTCATTATTGGATTATTATGTCTTGCAGTATTTACTGTGTTCTGAAAATTTAAATCAGAGTGATCAATGAAGCATACCAAAGCCATTAGACTTGGGCTTCTTTCTCATTGTAATAAGAGTGTTGAAATAGTTGACTTAGTAATTGACTATGACCTAGATGTATTAGTTATCACAGAATCATGGTTCAAACTTACTGATGACGAAGCAATAATTGCTCAGATAACACATCATCTTACACTTTCCATCATCGACCTCGGCTTACTTCTAGAGGAGCAGGTCTTGCGGTAATCCGCTATTTCAGTAAAACGTAATACATTGTCAACTGATCTGACCTTAGTTTGATACGTCCATAATAGATTATTCCACCGTCTGCATTTGCAGACCACCACCTTCGGCCTGATATACACACATGCACCTCCAAGGAATAGAACTATAACTGTCAAACCAAATACACGACGGTACGACTCAAATGTTCTAGAAGCAAAACGTTCTCGGCTCCAAGCAGAGAGAAAATGGCGTAAATCTAAATTGGAGACGCACAGACAAATTTTTAATGTATTGTTCATAGGATTCTCACGTAACCAATGTCATCCGAAAAGCTAAGAGCGATTAATGTTTTACCAAGCTTGAGCACTGAAGCCAAGATCCACATAGGATATACACATTCATGAATTCTCTTCTGGGTAAGAAATTTGAAACGAAATTGCCTTCTTCTGATAATTTCAAAGAACTAACAGATGACTTCAATCGTTTCTTTGTTGACAAGATCAACAGAATCGGAATTTTGCTTTTTGAATCAATTGATTCAACAGTTGAATTTTACTCTAGGACACTCAGGGAATTTCATAGGTTTTCTGAAGATGATGTCTGGAAGATTATCCGTTCATCCATACCAACCACTTGTTCATCTTAACACCTCATGTGATTCAACTTGCAGACGGGCTTCTTCCTAGGATAACTTTTAAGTATACATTGGTCAAACCCCTACTAAAGAAGCCTTTAGTGGATAAAGAAATATCCCAAAACTATCGTCCTGTCCCCAGTTTACCATTCGTTTCAAAGATATTAGAAAGAGCTGCAAACATTCGGTTGAACGATCATTTCACTCGGCACCCACTCTTAGATCAGTATCAGTCAGCTTACAGACAGGGCCATTCAACTGAGACAGCACTTCTCTAGGTCGTGGATGACATCAGAGATATTGTCGACAGGGTAACTGCTGTTCCTTAGTAATGTTGGATCTTTGAACAGCTTTCGACACGATCGACTCATTGGTGCTTCTAAAGAAACTTCACGTTGAGCTTGGCATTACGGGGATGTCCTGGCGTGGTTTGAATCTTACCTTTTCGGTCGTA